TAGTGTACAAATTAGTACAAATCATGTACTACATATTGACATAAGTTTCAACTCAAAAATCTATTGGTGTCGGCCAGGGAGGTGGAACTTTCGGTAGCGGACTTTCGAGCTTTATATCTCCGGTTCCTGAGGGGTCCAAATTCTAATTTTTGGTGTACAAATCAGTACAAATTATGTACTAAATATTGGCATAAGTTTCAACTCGAAAATCCATTGGTGTCGGCCAGGGAGATGGAACTTCCGGTCCCGGCACTCTTTCGAGCTTTATATCTCCGGTTCCTGAGGGGTACAAATTCTAATTTTTGAGGTACAAATTAGTACAAATTAGGTACTAAATATTGGCATAGGTTTCAACTCCAAATGCCATAGGTGCCGGGCTACCATGTCCCTGGCCCGGCACTTTTACGAGCGTTATATCTCCGGTTCCTGAGGGGTACAAATTCTAATTTTTGAGGTACAAATTAGTACAAATTAGGTACTAAATATTGGCATAGGTTTCAACTCCAAATGCCATAGGTGCCGGGCTACCATGTCCCTGGCCCGGCACTTTTACGAGCGTTATATCTCCGGTTCCTGAGGGGTACAAATTCTAATTTTTGAGGTACAAATAAGTACAAATTAGGTACTAAATATTGGCATAGGTTTCGACTCGAAATTCCATAGGTGCCGGGCCACCATGTCCCTGGCCCGGCACTTTTACGAGCGTTATATCTCCCGTTCCTGAGGGGTAAAAATTATAATTTTTGGTGTACAAATTATGTACTAAATATTGGCATGAGTTTCAACTCGAAAATCCATTGGTGTCGGCCAGGGAGATGGAACTTCCGGTAGCGGACTTTCGAGTTTTATATCTCCGGTTCCTGAGGGGTACAAATTCTAATTTTTGCTGTACAAATTAGTACAAATCATGTACTAAATATTGGCTTAAGTTTTAACTCGAAAATCCATTGGTGTCAGCCAGGGAGATGGAACTTCCGGTAGTGGACTTTCGAGCTTTATATCTCCGGTTCCTGAGGGGTACAGATTCTAATTTTTAGTGTACAAATTAGTACAAATCATGTACTACATATTGACATAAGTTTCAACTCAAAAATCTATTGGTGTCGGCCAGGGAGATGGAACTTCGGTAGCGGACTTTCGAGCTTTATATCTCCGGTTCCTGAGGGGTACAAATTCTAATTTTTGGTGTACAAATCAGTACAAATTATGTACTAAATATTGGCATAAGTTTCAACTCGAAAATCCATTGGTGTCGGCCAGGGAGATGGAACTTCCGGTCCCGGCACTCTTTCGAGCTTTATATCTCCGGTTCCTGAGGGGTACAAATTCTAATTTTTGAGGTACAAATTAGTACAAATTATGTACTAAATATTGACATAGGTTTCAACTCCAAATGCCATAGGTGCCGGGCTACCATGTCCCTGGCCCGGCACTTTTACGAGCGTTATATCTCCGGTTCCTGAGGGGTACAAATTCTAATTTTTGAGGTACAAATTAGTACAAATTAGGTACTAAATATTGGCATAGGTTTCAACTCCAAATGCCATAGGTGCCGGGCTACCATGTCCCTGGCCCGGCACTTTTACGAGCGTTATATCTCCGGTTCCTGAGGGGTACAAATTCTACTTTTTGAGGTACAAATTAGTACAAATTAGGTACTAAATATTGGCATAGGTTTCGACTAGAAATTCCATAGGTGCCGGGCCACCATGTCCCTGGCCCGGCACTTTTACGAGCGTTATATCTCCGGTTCCTGAGGGGTACAAATTCTAATTTTTGAGGTACAAATTAGTACAAATTAGGTACTAAATATTGGCATAGGTTTCAACTCAAAATGCCATAGGTGCCGGGCCAGCGACATGCACCTCAAAATCTAGGGTTCCGGAAACATAAGAATACACCATTATACGAAAAAATTCGAAACAATTAAAGAAATCGAAACGCGGTGACCTAATCATAAAATGGGCGTCATTTTCCAAATTTACGGCTCGAGAAACATAAGAATACTTATATCGAATAAATAAAAAAAACTTAAATAACTCGAAACGCAGTGACGTAATCTTAAAATGGAGGTTATTTTCAAAAACTACTCATACGATAACAGACCCACACATCGAAAAATTAAAAATGATTAAATAAATAAAAAAAGTTTGAATTTGAAATGGAAAAGGTTGAATTTGACTTGGAAAAAGTTTAATTTGATTTGGAAAGGGTTAAAATTGACGTGGAAATGCTATACATCCATGAAATGATTTCATATTTTACTTCTTCTTTCACACAAGTACAATGAGATAGTTTTTTAAACAACGTATACAATAATTAATTAAATTAATCAAACAATATTTTAAAAGTTTACATTTAGTTAGTTAATTTCCTTGAAAACATGTGATTTGCGTTAAACAATGTCAGTTTAAAGAGATTATTTTTTATAATTTTTTCACCACTCTCCGTTACCTTCTACAACTTTCTATATTAGATATGTTTTCTAAAATTCTCCGCTTTCCAACGATACGTATACCTCCTGACTAGTATTTCCGAAGATTTATTTTCGACCTGGATAAGCATTTTTATTTTTTTCTCCTTTATTCAATTATCTAACTCTTTCTAAAGTTATATTTAGCATTTTTTCGTAAATTTTAATAATGAGAGATAGTTAATTATTAGAAATAAACCATATTAGAGGTACTTTAGAGGAGGACGTATATGAACATTGGGCATTTAAGCTCTGTAAAGTGACATCAACGGGGATAAGACCTAAATGATATTAAATACCACTCAATTATACAATGGTACACCGATTTTAATCAAAATCGTTAAAGCCGTTTTTGAGAAAATTGTAAAAATGTGTTCCAGTGTTGATATAAAGTGACACTTCCGGTTAGCCGATTTTAAGGGAAAAGTTGCAAGGACACCTAAGGCAATACATATCTTAAATATGTAATATCAGTTTCGTTTTCGAGCTTGAATGTTTACAACACACAGGCCACTTTTCGGGACTTGGCTATATGTACTCAGGGTACCTCAAAACGTACATTTCCGTTGAAAACTCAGACTCGAAAATGTTCACGATCGCAATACTTACACTTTCTATATATTACATATACAGGTAAGTAAAAGTAAAAAGGAACAATCAACTTAAAAGGTACATAAGAGCAGTTTAAAAGAAAAGAAAATCTGGTGCGGTGCGCGCATCACGCAACTTTCATTTACCCTCTTCTTAGCTGAAATAAATATTTTCAGACAAAGAGGAACTGAAAGTAAAAATTATAAACGCTATATTGATTTATATTTCATTGTGGATATTTTTATTTGTTTAAGTACCCTAATATATACAAATTTTAATATTTAGGTCACTGTAATCTACACAATTAAATATTAAATAATACCAACGAAAACATTTAGGAAAAGCGCATATGTATATGTACTTAATATTGTCGGAGGCCCTATTTTATTATGCTCATGTTACGTACGGAAGCCGTTCTTATCTTCGGACTGGCACGGGTGAGCTTGGCCGCGATCATATCCCTTTGGTTCCTTCATTACAACTAGTCTCTGTTAAGATCTCATATTTCTCCTTTAGTTAATTATCAAATTCTTTCATATTTTATATTTAACTGTTTTATATATTAGAGATCGATGTGAAATGGTTAATTATTTGAGATAAAAAAGTTGAAAATATTGAAAATTTAAGCTCTGTTAGAGAACATTAATGAGAATAAAACCTATATAATATTAAAAACTACTTAATTTTACACTGATATAATGAATTTAATCCTAATCATGAGCCGTTTTCTCCAAACTTTTCTTTTTTTCCAAAAAAAACTTTTTCATTTTTCTTTAATATATCTACTTTGCAACGTTTGAGAAATAATTCAAAGAGATCTTTTGGGGTATGTTTTAGTCAATTATTTTATTTTAGAGCATGTATAAATAAATAACTTAATGGGCCAAATTATGAATTATTTGATGAATGACTTACTTAAATACTAGGCATCCAAATAAAAATTATTATTGTAAAAAAAAAATTAACTAGTGGTACTGAGCACAAATGAAAGATGAGACAATAATCGAACAAAACATGAGCCATATGAGAGTTGAAAATTTTAAACAAATATATAAAATACGTATTAAAATAATTCGTCTTATTAGAGCAATATTGAATGAAATAAAATTCAAGTATTACCTAATAGAGCACAACTTAAGATGAAACCATGTGCTTGTACTTAGGCTCATCAAGAAATTTTGACTGTTATTTTCCTGCTAAGTGTATATTTTGTTTCTTTTTTTAAATATTTAATGTATTGAATTTTAAATCATAAAAGCATAATTATTGCACACTTCTTAAAAATAATAATTATATAAGACTAGCGTCCCCCACAGAATAAGAAAAAATAAAATTCTACATCCTCAAATACATAGACAGACAAAATTTGGAAAGGAATTCTTAACATAGGATTCATGGAACTGAAGAAACAAACCTTCCAAGAATTATAACAAAGAGCTTTATGGCAACAAATACATACAACCAGCATAAATATTGGAAAGTAGCCGCACCGAATAGAGAAATTTGGCAGAAACTCATTGAGGAGGCCAGGACCCACTGAGGGTTGTAGAGCCATTAAGATAGCTAGATATTGATGAAAAGCCGGGAAGGACATAATAAATAAATAACGATGTGGTATCACACATACATACATATATATTTTAAATTCTACTATTATTTTTAAAAAGTAAGTACTTTCTTTCTTTTAAAAAATAAATTTCTACTAACATACATTCACTCAAATGTATATACATTCACATCCACATTAATTTGTAAGCTCATATGGAAAATAATATCCAAATAGGAGAACAACAACCAAATAAGATTTTTTCTTTGTAAATGATTTGAAGAAAAAAAAAATCATTTAAGGAAATTACTTCTTAATTTATTTGAATGTTTTACAGATTGTTATTTATTACAACCATTAACTTTAAGTATGATATCCATGAAGGAATTTCTCTTCTTTATCCACTTTTCACTTTCTAAATCCTCTTTTAACTTTTCATTCAGCTAAGCGCCTTGCATACCTCACTCCTGAGTCGGTCGTTTCTCATCTTCTGTAAACCAGTAACCCAATAAACACTCAAGTGGTCATAATACTATCCATCTAAATTTGGGAGTGTAATATTAATAAGTTATTGAAAATAGTGATAACAATGAGGTTTATAATTGTATGTATTTAATATAACAAAATAAAATTATCATGAGACTTTTACTATCTGTAAAATACAACATTAATTTTTTCAATTAACATGATTTGTTTCGACTTCATTTAATAATTGGATTTAAAGTGTGGCCACACATATTAAACAAAAGTCCATATGATAAAAACAACTTTTTCCGAAAATGATAAAATTTAATGAACAATTTTAAAATAGCTGTAACTGTAGATTGGCTGGAACTCAATTTGTCTATGTATATATATTCAAATATGGAATTTAAGCCTCCACAGCTTCTTTAAAATGATTTTTTTTCTCTGATGAATATCTTAGAGGATATGAAGGAAAGTTAGATGAAACATGTGAGGCAAAATCATCTTTTTTCGAGCGTGTAGCTCGAAAATGGTTTAGAATTAGGATAAAATCTATAGAATAAAAGTTTTAGTTAATTTTATAAACTTTAATTTACTGTAAAAAAATTTCTCCTGCAATGCACGGTTTTCGAGATATAAGCGAAAATCCAAAAATTGTGACCTTTCCTCCCGCCTCAGCTTACCACCTAGATGTCAGGACTTTTGATAAATTCATACCCTAAGCACCCTCACCAAGTTTCTGAAGGAATCTCTTAGGTCCCTGCTCACGCACTCTATAACTCCTTAGTGAATGAACTAACAATCCTAAACTAGTTGATATCTTTCATACGCTGGAGTGTTCTTGATGAAAAGAGCACATTTTCTATAATGTCATGTAATATAGAATGAAAATAGTCGTTCTCAACATCTGAATCTTGAATCATTCATCTGAGACAACATGTCCTATGCTAATTACAAGACTTTTTTAATGGAGAGCAAAGACATCATTGATTCTTTTATTATGAACCTTTTTCATCTTCTAAAACCTCACTTATGTTATTTTAAAGGCATTTTAAATCAGATAATGGAGCAACACTACCTTTTTACCCTACTTTAGCATTTTAAAAATCAGTTAAACTAGATGAAGTTAATAAAATAAAGAATATTAGTAATCTTAATATAGGAAACAAGACTTTAGTATATTAGCACAGACAAGTCATTCACTTAAAATTCATGCTAACTGTTCAAGCAATGTCGTATAAATACTCCAATAACTAAATAAAATACAAACAAACAGTAGAATCAAATTCAACAAAATATATTTACAAAAATAAGAACATATCAGAGTTAAAATACATCATTTTAGACTGTACAGAGGAAGACGTACTTCATTGGTATAAAAAATTCTTCATTAAAATTGATTTCATTCTTCAATTGTTGTTAAATAGAAATGTACCATAAATAAATCACAGTACAGAATGAAATGTACCAATTTACTTTCCAAGAAGGAGCATGAAATTTTTTTAGGATTGAGTACTTCACAGCATAACAGAGAATAGAGCTTCTTTGCATCAACTCTAACATTGCTTTCTGCATCACCTGTGCAAATAATAAGTAAAATTGTATAGTAAAAATATGAAGTTTAGTTTTTAAACATAAAACAATTGAACAAAAGTAAACACATATTTGTATTAGTTTTATTTTAAGTTATTTCAGATCAAGTAGGTGCTACAAATTAGCTGCTAAATGGTAACAATACATTATAATACCATATTCTAACTTTTTTCTTTAAAGCTGGTATTTTATATGATGAGATGAATTTTCAATGACAACCTTCAAACTCCTCATCATTTATTTATTCTTTTGTATACTAGTGATGTTTTGGAACAACTTTTCCTTTTTCAAACATACATGTTTCACTTTGTAAATGTATGTTTTCACATTACACACTTGTTATAATTTTCACATGTTTGTGTATTATTTTAATTCTTTTAAGTATTGTTATATTCATAACTAGCATAAAAAATACAATTGTCATTCTTTTATTAAATATGTTTATATTTTTAAAAAATCATATTGAAAGGTTACCTATTACCAATTCCAAAAGAAAGAGGACATCAAAAACCATTTGGATCAGTTTTTAACAATAAACTTCAAACATTTTATGAACATGGCATTATGCAGTAAGGGGAAAGATGGGAAAAAGTCATAGTATACAAAAGTTCAATATATTGTAGGTTAAAATAAATTTTATATATATAATACATTGAGGTTTTTTCATCCTGAAAAACCAAAAGAACTCATTTGCCAAACCAATATTATGTCCTGAGTGCCTTCTTCCATCTATAGGTGGGTTAAATATCCATTATAGGTTAAATATTCAGATATGTTTTCAAATATCTCTAGTTATATATGAGCCTTTCGGTTGACAGAATGACTAACTCCAATTTCAACATTCTTTATTATTAATTTTAGTGATGTTTCTTGAAGGTAACGTTTATACCTTTATTCACAGTTCTATATTTCAACACTGCAATCACGTACTCTGGAATCAACTTACTCACTGTCTGTATACATATAACTTTTCCAACTAGAAATACCACTAAAATGACATTACTCAAAAGTGTTGAAATTGGAGTTAGTCATTCTGTCAACTGAAAGGCACACATAGCTCAGAGACTGAAGGTTTATAAAAACAGATGCAGTAACTAGATTTTAATTGCCTACCGTCGATATAATAAATAGAGTTTTTGTTATTTTAATGGTCTTAATAATTTGTTATGGTTTGTTAATGGTCTTAAAGCTGAAAGCTTTAAGCTTTAGCTTCATTTAGATTGCACTTCAAAAATGTTATAATAACCCAACATTGCCAGAAAATAATTTCTATTCAAAGTAGAGCGGTAATGCGCTGTTACCGCACCAGATTTTTAATATTCCAACCAGTGTAATCAAAATTATTATTTAAATAAAACCATTAACTTAATTTTAATTTATTTAAAAAGAAAAAAGAAATACTCAGTTTTGTAAACCAGCAATTATCTTATTAATCACTGGATAACTAGAAACTGTATCTACAAAAGATTATTCTGGTCGTTATTAGCAATGTACTATTTGAGAAAAAAAAAAAAAAAACAGTTACCGGGTGAATGCAAGATATCAAACATATCTGAATCTAGGTAATAATTGTATATCTGACAAAACACTATTAAAAACCTACAAGCTCAAAACAAATATAAATTCAAGTTTGTATATTATCAATATCAAAGCAAGATTAGAATAGGATTATATACATATGTACCAAGCTGTGAATATTCACCTGCTGCTTCAATCAGTAATACGTTCTTGAAGATTGTATTAACTGTAACAGTTTGGGTGGAACCACTGACAGAGAGTAGGCCATCATTTGATGGTTTTAATTCTACATAAGAACATAATTTTTTTAACCTCTCAACAACACTTCGTACTTTTTTCAAGTTTTTCAATTCAATTATAATCTAAAAGGAAAGACAAGATTATGATACTAAAACAGTTATAGAAGGAAAACAAGCAAACTTAAGACAAACATACTTACATTATAGTTATGACTAGGAGGGTCATTATATTCACTCCATAAGAGCCGAGGTAAAACTTTTACAGGAATATCATGAACACATGTTCTAGACATACCAATATCAGATACCTGAAATATTGTAAACAAAATAAATAAATTTTTCCGTCATACATCTATAAAAAGTAAATGTTTATTTTTGGAAGGTATAAAGTTATTTACTGAAAATGGTTATTTTGCACACAAAAATCAACTATACCGTCAGATTTTTGGTTTACCGATGGAATCAAGCCCCTCCATCAATCTATCTGATACAATCCTGAATGAAATAATTGATCAGGCACTCCAGACGTCGAATATAAAACCACTCATTATAAAAAAATATGTAGACAACTTATTTTTAATAATTACAAAAGATGAACATTCTAAATTAATAAATATCATAAATAATATACACAGAAAACTTAAATTCAACTCAGATACTGAAGAAAATAATAAACTAAATTTCTTAGATGTAACAATATCTGGAATGGAGACAAGCTACTTACAAAATGGTACCAAAAACCAATTACAGGAGAATATAATTTAAATTTTTATTCAAACCACCGAAAGTCCCAAATCATTAATGTAGAAATTAAGCTAATAAATAAATCTATAAAACTTACAAATGAAATTTTTTTAAAAGAGGTGAAGCATCAGATGTTAAAAATTTTAAACAATAGTTTTTATCCCAGGCATATTACAAATAAAATTTGGTACAGTGCTCTAAATAAACACAAAAATAAAGATAATAATAAAGAAACCTATCAAAATAGAAATTGTAAAACAAAAAGGCAAGAACATCTTAGAAACACAAGAGAGAAAAACAAGATTAAAAATCTGGTTCGCACAACAGACATCTTTCACTTACTCTTTGAACTTTGCTCAACTTTGAATAGAAATTATTTTCTGGCTATGTTGGGCTACTATACAATTTTTGAGCTGCATTTTTAACTGAGCCAAAGCTGAAAGATTTCAGCTACCAAAAAATAAATACTATGAAAATAACAAAAGTTCTATTTATTATATCACCAGTCGATTATGGATTGTATGACTATTAGTTATTAAACTGTTCTTTTCCATTGCAAAGTTTATTAAAACGGAATTAATAGATTTGCATTGTCTGTCATAGACAAGTCAAAAGTTGTTACACTAATTGTAAATAGATTCTGTTGGAATATCGCAAAGGGAAAATTTATCAAATTATTCACTAATTTATTTTTCTAAAAGGTTACATGATGATTTTACAACTTTGACAATGATTAACTTTTTAAAATAAACCATATTAAAGGTACTTTCGAGGAAGACGTATATGAACATTGGGGATTGAAGCACTATAATGTGACATTAAGGGGGATAAGACCTAAATGGTATTAAAGACCACTTAATTATAAAATGATACACCGAGTTTAATCAAAATCGTTAATGCTGTTTTTGATAAAATTGTAAAAATATGTTTCAACATTGATATAAAGTAGCACTTACGGTTAGCCAATTTTCAGGAAAAGGCTGCAGCGACATCTAAGGCATATATCTATCTTAACTACGTAATATCAGTTTTGTACGACTTTTCGGTTTCGAGCTAGAGTATTCCCATACACACAGACCATTTTTCGAGACTTGGTTATTTGGACTCAGGGTACCTCAAAACGTGTATTTCCGTTGAAAACTCAGATTCCAAAATTTTCTCGATCACAATACTTACCCTTACCATATATTACATATATAAGTAGGTGAAAGTAAAAATTTGTTTTTAAAAAAGTTGATTGGGATGTAGATAGGTGTCCATCTAACATCGTGACTATACGGAAACCCGCCCAAGGAAAAGTAGATATTAAACCTTTTAAATAAAAATCAATAACCTTAGGAAGTGACCTAACTTCCAAAATTATAAAAACACTAAAAGATATAAGTGAATTCAGGTTCGGTCTAAAACCACAATATCCGATTAGAAAATTGATATCTAAAATAAAGGACAAAACCCCAATTTTAAAAGTAGCATAATCTGATATATCAAATTCCTTGTAAAAATTGTGATGTCATATATATTGGGATGACATTTACCGATCTAAAAACACATCTATACAATCATAAAAATAATTTAAAAGCAAACTAAAAAACAAATACGGCCTTATCAAATCATACAAAAACCCATACACATGAAATTAATTTTGAAAAAACAAAAATTCTCCATGAGTCAATCTCAGGCCCAAAAAGAAAGGTCATTAAAGCCATTTACATAGCAGTATCTTCAAAAGAAAAAAACATTACAGGATCATAATACGCATCATTACTTGACAAGCTGACAGCAGAACTTGCAGAAAAACAGCCACATTTGCAGAAAAAAAAATCCTGTTTCACAAAGACAACCGCAACATATCACACCTCAGCGGTTGCCATGACGAAAATCCACGAATTACGGTTTGACCGTCCACCTTCCTCACCAGGTCTAGTCTAGCTCCAAGTGACTTCTTTTTGTTCCTTTATTTAAAAATTGCGCTCGGAGGACAGAGATTTTCGTCAAATGAAAAGGCAATCACCTTCATGAACAATTATATTGTAGAGAAAAACAGTGAGTACTTTTTGGACGGGTTGCAGAGATGGGAGCATCGCTGGGAGAAGTGTGTAGAGTTACAAGGATATGTTAAGGATAAAAAAAAAAATGTCTTGTATTTTTGTTAGGTTGGAAACTTTTCAGACGACCCTCGTATGTATGTATGTTTCAGATGTATATACATATTTTTTTCCTGACTCAGAGAAATATATTTTAAAAATAATAAAAAAAATCCTTTTTATTTAATTTTAACGGTGGAGGGGGTTATGGTTGTTCTGGGGGGTGGGAGGACAGGTGATAACACACGTTTAAAAGCCCAGAGTAAGACTGTAAACTGGAAAGTAAATTACAACAGGGGTCCTCCCTCCTTCAATAGTAAGTGATATAAGTAAATTTTGGTTAATTAAAACAGACTGAAATATAACACTCAATTACCTATTACACCATAAGTTTTTTAAAAAAATTGATTTTATTTTTTAACTTACAGGTGAAAAGCCCAAACTTAATTTTGTAAATTTAGACACCAATCTATAATGATTGATAAAATTTATACAAAGAAAGAAGTTCATAAAATGGATTGAACGAGCATTGTAAAGGTATGTGGAAATATTGGCGGATTCCTGTAGCGAACTTTTCTAATTTATTGTATAGTTATATATACATAATATAATATATAAATGCATGATTATTGTATACTTACCTAGTTCTGTCGTTATACTGTTACAAAAGTTGAACTTTATTTACATCCTTGGGTATCATTTAGATAATCCTTACCTCTATCAGGTCATTTTTTTTACATGTCAGGATAATAATACCAATTAGTTTGTATTTTTCTTTCACTCAGTTAACATGGAGTGGGGTGATAAAGAAAACTGAATAGCTTTGATCACCTTACACAAAGTTGGAAAATGTAGGTCAGAGATTTTCAACACTTTGCAACCTTTGGATATCAGCTGTATGTCCGTATACTGCACTATAAACAGATATAATGAAACCCTATATGAATGTGACAGACCTCGACCAGGCTGTCCTCGCACTGTGAGAACAGCAAATGCAGTGAGAGCAGTGGCGGCTCGATCCAGAAGAGATCCCATTCAAAAACAACAAATCATGTCTTGGGAAATGGGAATCTCTGTCAGATCAATGTCTCCCATAATAAAAAGTGACTTTAGGATGGGTGCATTTCAAAGAATGACAGGACAAAGGCTAACCACTTCCCTAAAAAAAAATTAGAGTGGATAGATACAAAGTGCCCCTTGGTCGTTATACCAATCGAAAGATTTTGTTTAGCGATGAGAAAATTTTTATGATTGAAGAAAAAACTAATTGCCAAAATGATCATGTGAACGCACATAGCACTAAAGAAGCCCAGGAAGTCATTGGGAGAGTGGAAAGAGGTCATCACCTTTCCTCAGTGATGGTTTGGTGGGGAATTTGCTTTGATGGCACCATAAAGCTCTATTTTTGTGTAAAAGGAGTTAAAACAGCCGATAAAAACAATCAGGACGATATTTTGGAACCCGTTGTGAAGCCTCTAAATGATACTGTGTTTGCTGGAAGTCATTGGGTTTTCCAGCAGGATTCCGCTCCAGCTTACAAGCCCAGATCAACTCAGCAGTGGTAGCAAAAAAACATTCCAGAGTTCATTTCTACCTCGGATTGGCCCTGAGGAAGCCTTGATCTCAACCCACTAGATTATCGGCTTTGGTCCGAACTGGAGAGGATGACATGCCACAGAGCACACTCTAACTTGGAAAGTCTCAAACAATCTCTGGTCCGAGCAGTTGAGCACTTTCCTCAAGTGCTGCATGCTGCTATTGATGATTGGCCAAGGAGATTAAATTCCTTTGTCAAGGCAAAAGGTGGACATTTTGATTAATCAAATTTTTGTTTTACTCTCTATAGATATACATTTTATTTTCTAGTAAATTTTTTGAAAAAAATTATTTTGCTGTTGAAATCTATTTATATATATTTCCTTGTAACAATATTCATGACAGGACTAGGCATATATGTATATGTATACATATTCTAATTTATTGTGTATTTAAAAATATTTTTTAGATGAATAAGGTGCAGAGCACCGAAAATTCCTAAAAATAAATACATGAGACCGTAAAAAGAGTGGTATTTTTTTTTACTTTAAGTATTATAGCAGTTTACCTATTTAAACGTATTGCAAACAATTATTTTAAAGCTGGATAGTCACTATTGCTTTTCTGAACTAAATAATTTTGTGACAGAGTAAACAGAAAGTTTTAAACTAGTAACTTAAGTCTTGTATTTTCTATCTATATTCTTTAATATATTTCATACTAATTTAAAAGAGAATTTTACTTTGAATGGCAAAATAATTTCATATTCCATTAATGATGTGCTAAATAACATGGATAGATAAATCATTAAAACATGGTAGCTTTTAGACAATTCATTTCCAAGTAACATAACATTCAACACCATTGGAGATTAATTTCTTTATATAAAAATTTCAATAAAATATATTATAAAAATAAAAAATGAAGTATATATAGTTAGAAATTAATAAGTTTGAGACATGAGGTGAGAAATGAATATTTGTATACATTAATAGTTTACAAATCAAGGTTTAAAGTTAAATAATAATAGTTAATTATATACCAAATCAATATCCACAGTTAAACAAGGTGATACTTTATTAGTAAGTTTAATTTTTACACTTCTAGGACTACTATTGCCAGTTTTCAAACTACTGAGCGATGATGAAAACATATCTGGAAAAAAACAAAACATTAATAGTAACAGTGATACATTAAAATCAAGCTTACATATCCTAAAGCAGTCCAATAGATATGTTCAAATTATGAGTCTACAAAATTAAGTAACTGAAATGTGCTTGTTTTTAGGCACTGAAGCAGAAGATAATCTTTAAAATGATGGCTCAATCATCAGATTTGATGTAGAATTAATGGAACAAAAACATTTTTTTTTTTAGAAGAATAGAGATTAGAATCGTTACTATTTCAAAATTGCTGCTCAACTTTTTTTTTTTTTTATTATTCCCTACCTTCATATTTCCGGATAACTGAGGGTTCGATCTAGAGGTACAACCAAACCTATTTTAACTAGACTTGGAAGGTTGAGATTCATTCCGTGAGTAGCTCAGAAAATAATTTTCAATGCATCCAGCAGGATTCGAACTAATGTTGCTAGACTTGAGAATTTTAAAGTAAGCTGTAACATACTCGGCCTATACTCCACTTAGGTGGATAGACACAAGATCTCATGATCACACATATAAGAGGAATTCCAATACAAGCAAAGTATTGATGTGTCCCTGAGTAAAACCTCCCTATATTTAAATCATAATCATGATTTAAGACTTCCACAAGCTCCCAATTGTTCCTATTCAGTTAAAATCAGGGCATTAATCAGTTTTAATTATATAGCTGCTATAAATTTCTGCATACTCAAAAGAGATAAACAAATCTCTGATGGGTCCTCATTACTTGAACTTTCAGACACACTTCGACATTCTGAAACATTCGACAACATTTGTGAAGTAGTGCCTTCCAATATTTGCTATTATAAACAACACTGTATATGTTTCATAAGCTAAAATTAATTTAAATCATTCATGGTAAGGTGACCAATTGTTTTTGTACAAAAAGAATAAACAGACGACCCGATATTTTAAAATATTAAGTCCTTTTAATAAATGAAAATTAAAACTGAAAAATGTTTGAAACATTAATATTAATTATAAAATAATAACAATGAAAAACTGGACTTTACATATTTTAGCAATAATAATTAATATTCAATTAGAAGCACTTACCGTTCGAATTCATGCTGACAGACATATTAGTTCTAATCAAATTTTTATCAACTCTTGCGACAATCATTTGAATTAAAAACAACATAGCTACTCTCATCTGCATACTGATGCTACCAATGATATAAAATTTTCTAGGAGATATTCAATGACATGTAAATCTAAAAAATTTTGCATATAACAATTGTTACATTTGTTTAAGTTTTCGGGAGTATAGGTTTTAAAAGAAGAACATTTGGTCACCTTATTTATAGTGAAGATAGTTCAAGTTAATATTTAAACCTGTAGGAAATTCCAGGAAAATTTCACATGTAGGCCCCATTGCTTCCACAATGAATTCATTAAAATATTGTCTAGCATCTATAAAACACCAAAGTGATATTTGCTTGGGTGATGAGTTTTCTTCACAAACAAGAAAAGACATTTCAGCTTTGGTTAATCTTAAAACACAATTCTTCGTTAATTTATTCAAAGTATTTCCTAAAACTATAGCAATTACTTCAGTAATAAAGAATTAAGATGATAAAATAATAAGATAAATTATCAGTGACATACACGAAAGGTTTTTCATACTGAGAGATTCATACATAACAGCTTTAAACTTCATAATTAATTATAGACTAGTTAATTATTGATGAGATTAAGCTATTCCAACTAGTCAGGAAAATTGATATCTCCAAAATTCGAACCTTTTTTTTTGAAATTGGTAAACATTTGATACACTGCTATACTGATATACTGATAAGCGAATTGTTTTCAAATATTTCTCTAATTGAATAATCCTTGAAGCGATTTACAAAGTTAGAGTACAATTATATATTTAAAAATATATTTTATTGGAAATTAAAAGCATTTACTTTTAAATTCCGATGTTGTTTATTTATATGAAATCGATTGATAATAAACTATTACTTCAAAGATAACATTTTCTATGTCTAAATTCATTACAATCAACAAGATAAACTGTTTTGGGATTATTCATTTTTGTTATTAAAAAATTGTAGTCCTAAATGTTGTTTAAACTGAGGTTGTCAATTCTACCACCTCTACTTGCGAGATTGTTGTTAAGCTCAGTCCCTCAGGTGATACTAGGTGTAGATTATTGGTGAAGTTGAATATAGTTTAATCATGGATAAGTTATTATCTACGAAGCTTCTAAGCATACGCAAATGAGTGAGTAAGTTCTACACAGCAAAATATTTTTCTAGTCCATTGTTCTGAACTGTCATTGAAGTTTGCTTCCTCTTCCCTTGTTTTAGTCATGATTATTATTAGAGACAGAGCACATTTTAAATTTGTTTCCTTATCATTATACATAATAACCAAACTTTAATTGGAAATTGCCAAAAATCTACTATTTGATGTAAAGAAGTGGTATGATTATTTCGAGGATTTTGGATTTTGAGGATAAGAATGTCAACTTATTTTTAAGTTACTGTAATAATTAATTATTCAGTTCAATCTTTACTTTTGTTCTATTTCAGTTATATAAAACTCTTTATGTTCCAGTTTCTTTAGGAATCAATAACTATTGTTAATGCAATGTAGTTAAACTTATTAACCTGACTTTTATCAATTTATTTCTCGAAACCTAAAAGAAACCAAAATTGTTTTCTAATAATGTGCTGAAGAATATTAATGAAATTATTTATAGCTAAAAATGTGCTCTGCAAAAGTGGGCGTTGAACAACATTTTATTTTTAGTCTCACTTATCACTGAAGTTGTGGGAAGACCATTCAACTTCCCCAAAATAGTTTCTCAATTGGCAATGTTCTGCTTTTTGTTTATGTCGGTGTTTGTGCGCTAGTTAAAAGTTGAATCTTTTATTTAAGTATTCATTTTGACTCAGTTCCTTATAGTTTTTTCTTCTTTTACAGAAAGATGCTGTCTGTCAGTTTTTGTTTTTCTGAATTCTTTGATATTAGGTAAGCTTATGTATGATTATTTGCCTAATTACTAAGATAAAGTATTTCATTATTTTATCACATCAAAGTGTTCTTATTTATAAAAAAAATATATAAGATTTGTCTCCTAATCCTCAAAAGCGTTGAATCATGATTTTCCGCTTGTTATTAACTTTACAGTGTTTTCTCCTTATTTAATTTACTGTTTCTAATGCATTAAATGGTGTAGGTGTATTAAATTGATTATACATATTATGTTTTCAACAAGGTATACGTACATTAAATATTATCAATTTATTCATTTCTATATATTATATGTATATATATTTATGAAGTATGTTTATGTATGTATATAAACTTTTATTTACACATACATGTATGAATTTTTATTTTTTTAAGAATTTACCTGTTCTTATCACTTAATTATTTTATTTATATTTGAATTTAATGTGAAGTATTTAGGAAAAGTTTTATTTATTGATGTACTTTTAACTCCTTTTAATGATTTTTTTAGACCATAACCCACATTCTATTTACTTTTTTGATGTTCCAGATTTCGTACCTATTATCCAAATTCAAATTTGCTACACTTCAAAATAATTAATAATATTAAATAAATAATTAATTTGGAACATCTTTTCTATTAATGATTGATGATTAAAAACTATTAAGCCAGGGTCCTTGGTGCTCTGAGATAGTTCTTTGTGTATACCAAAACTGAAGTAAATCTGACTCATTGCTGCACTAGAGTAGTGAACCAATAATTAATGAGACATGATAAATAATTTTATTGTTGTAAAACATTCTGAGCTCTGGTCTTAACAATTTATTTGTATTATCAGTGATTGTAGATTATATTAATATTTTTAAATCATGAAAATATAAAAACTATTCGAAGTTTTATATAATACTGATTGTTAAATGTTATTTATAATTTTTTCAAGTAGTTCTGGCAATTAAAACTTTATCAAAAGTAGACCATCTACTCTCATTAATCTCAGTTTAATTTCTGTTGGAAGAAAATGAGATGTTATCATTTCAAGGGTTGTTATGCAGCCAATTAACACTTTTAATTATTTCCATTTGCTTTTCCATCTTCCTGATTTATAAATGCTAAATTTATTTTTAAACTTTAGTATATCTAGTTTCCAGTTAAATTCTAAATAAACATGATTTTTTTTTTTAGTTAAATTAAAATTGGTAATCTTTCCATCGTTATCTAATTGTTTTCATTATTGATCATATGTGTGTATACATTCAGTATTAATAGTGTATTATGTGTTTTTATAAATATACTATGAAAATTAGTTTTTAAGAAGGGAACGAGGGAACAGATTTTTCTGTATAAATTGATTATATTATAAATTTTTTGGTTTGAAGGTAAATATAGGAATATACATATAAAATGTTTACTGTCAATTCAAAAATAGTTTTCACTTTGTAATGTTTCAGGCCAAAATTATGGAAGGGGTGGATAACAACCTTGCTCTTGCTGCTGATGTATTTGATCAGTTTTGCTCAGCTACCACCCTTCGATCGGTCCTTGGCCATTTCAGATACCTCTGCGATCTTTTACAAATCAGACCCACAAACTTTAATCATTTCTATCCAAAACTCAAGGTACTATTACATTAAATCTTTTAATAGCGTTTTGTTTTGTTATTCAATAATTATATGTAAGCATTTTCAAAAGTTATATTCTTACTGCATTGTTGCAGTATCATTATAATTATAAAACTTTTAATTTCAGCTGAAACTACATTATTTAAAAAAAATAAAAGCATAGTAAGTATTTAATTGAATACAAAATTAATCAATTTTATGTAAGTTGATGAACGTGAACGTATGATTAAATCAGTTAACAATTTAGTCATTTAATGTTCAATTTTTCTCATTCTGACATTGTATTTGTCCATTTATTTATATATTAATTTTTATTTATTCATTTAGAAAACTTAACAGCAATATCTTATGTATTTTTTTATTGTAGTTAAGATGATATTCACATGTTAATTTTCCATTCATAAATTTGCTCCAGAAGTAAATATTTAGCTGTAAATAAAGTCCTTTATGGCCTATTTGACAATTCAGTGTGACTTATTCTGCGAAGTTTAAATTTTAATTAGTATTGATAATGTCCTAATTTTAATTTTGTACTGCCTTATCTTTAAAATTGGTTTTAGCTTAAGTGTGGTTTTGTTAGTTTTCCTCCTTTATTTTATGCTATCAATATTTTTATTATTCAATATTACTAACAGGCATAGGAAAGGCCAGCCACTATTTTGCATTCTGGTGCTAGTCATACCATGTGCCCTAAATATAAATCAGGTTCATGTTTCTTATGGCTCATGATATATTGTTTATTAGAGCATACTATGACTCTAGTATATAGTTTTCTAACTCTGTTGTTAATAGATGTTCATAATATCTAATTTGTTTTGAGATATTATTTTTATTTAAAATCTATTGTTTTTTTATATGTATAATAAATTATAGATTTTTTAAAATAAACATAATATTTCTCTTGGATCTCATTGTCATTATCATTTTTTAAATTGGTAAAAAAAAAACGTATTCTTCACTGATGGTATCTTTTTCTTTACTTGTTTTTTTGCAAACTTTGTTTATCCATGATTCTTAAAGTTGTTGAAATACCCTAATGTTCAATGGTTGTTGAAAATAGTCACATAGAGTGCCCAGTTTGATAAAAAATAATTTGCAAATATTATTTGTTTTCATAGTTGAATGGGAAGTGTAATTATCTATGAAAATAATGAAAGATTGAGGATACTATTTTAGTGACTATAATTAGAAGTTGTTAATTACAAACATTTTACTTATAAAGCACTAGTTGTTTGATAAGTTTCTGATTTTTCTTATTTTCAAGGTATGAGGGATGATGGGTAGTACTCAAATACAAGAGTATTTAAAGTTTTTCTTCATACTTAAATGTTACTGTCATGTGTTCTTCAACTTGTCTATCTTCATGCATTCTTGCTTACAGACAGTCTGATCTCATCATCTTTCTAACATTTTATTGTCTTTTAAAATCATAAAAATGAAATAAAATAAGTTTCATCTGCTTTGAAAATTCTATTTAACTCAGACTAAACTTAATTATGTCATAATGTAATGAGCTTTATTACAGTTTTATGATATTCTTTTCCCAAGTATTTTTTTTTTTAGAGAAATTCATTTATGTTTACCCTTGAAGTAATCCTTCAGTTACTTTATTAATTTATTCTTAAACCAGTCTGGTGTTCAATAAATTATTAACACTAAAATAGTTTTTTATTATCTTTATCATCAAAATGTCTATGATGAGTGATGTGTATTACTGTTATGTTTTCTATAAACTATAATTTTCTATAAGTATAATTTAGGTTGAATGTTACAAAAAAAAAAAAAAAAAATGAAAAACCTTCAATTTTATTTTATTTTACTTGTAAAATCAGAATATTATTGATTAACAGTACAGGCACACATGTTAAGGATTCGGTAAATGTGGCCTCACTACTTGGCCAATTGAAATATTGCATGCTGCAGAAAATATTTCCTGAATTTATGCCATTGGAAAATATTTATGTTATTTTGATGCACAATTTTGCATTTTTTTTTTCAACTTTCCAAGGAATTCATAAATTTTTTAAAAATTTAATTTATAGAACAAAAAAAAATTATAAACTTGATTTAAGCCCTTTTTTTATTTGATGCTTATTCTTGCCTATTATTATTTTTTTTATTTTAACAAACTTTATCTGTGTTGTTTTTTTGATTTTTTAGGCAAAGCTAAGATCATGGAAAGCCCAAGCGCTATGGAACAAATTTGATAAAAGATTCAGTCATAAGTGCTATAACAGAGGAAAAATATGTAGTAATCTTAGGGTATGAACAATTTATGTATTCTTAGTTGTTTTTTTTTAATGTATATGCACTCTTTAAAAACTGAATTTGAATTAAAATATGTAGTCTATTTTATTACATGTGGCTAATTATTCACTATTCTAAGCTAAAATGGTAAAAGAACGTAATTTAAAAAAATTATTATTGTGATTTTTCAGGTTTTGGTTATCGGGGCAGGCCCTTGTGGTCTGAGGTCTGCAATTGAAGCACAACTTCTGGGAGCAAAAGTAGTAGTTGTTGAAAAAAGGGACCGCATAACAAGAAACAATGTACTTCACTTATGGCCTTTTGTTATTCATGATCTACGAGCTCTTGGGGCTAAAAAGTTTTTTGGTAGATTTTGTGCTGGAGCCATCGACCACATCAGTAAGATTAAAATGCTTAAAAATTGAAATTAGAGTGATCTGCATTCACAAAAAAAGAAAATAATAATAATAATAAATAAACAGGATGGGATGGGATATATATTAAGTGTTGTAGGACTCTATGAATAACACCATACTCTGCCTTGATTAGTTTTGTATCTGATTATAAAGTTTTGATCATTCAGGTCATGATTTGATTCAATTATTTTATATTCTAGATTTAAATTTTTTTTATATATTGTTATTTATATGTTTAATTTGTGATTGAATGTGATCCTTGCCTAATCACTATCAGAGTCTTGCCAAATTATACAACTGTTGGTCTGGAAACAGTACTCCCTTACCAAGTACTGAACCCAAAACTTTTCATGTGTAGAGGTACAGGGATCTTTAATTTCAGAAAAAAAAAAAAAAAATCCTTATCTTTTAACACTTTTGATATTTCAGGCACCTTTCTGCATTTTCATGTATTTTTTTCTTTTAATAAAATAAGGCGGACTCTTGCCTATAGTTGACAAATTTATAATCACCTTATGATTTCAATAATTTTATAGTATAAATTACTTATGTATAACAGATGCGGTTAGGATTGATAGTTTTTCCATAAGACAGCAGGGAGGCCAGAGACCTATGTTCAATTCTATATACTGGGGATTTGGTTTGGGAAACAGTGGTTAGGGGCTTAACCTTTTGTTGTTTTAGAAATATGACTGTTAAATGTCAACATCCTTCCTGGGAAATTCGAATAGTAGAGCTAATACGAAAATGTTTTGCATAAATCAAGGAAAATGTGATTGATTATGCCGTGCCATAACTCTCCAGTAATTATGCTACCCTTGCAAACAATTATATAGGCTCTGGACCTGTGACAATACGTTACGTTGTTGCCGTGGTTATGATTCATTCACTAAGTTTAGATATAAAATCATGTGTTAAATAAAGAATTAGGATTTTGAAAAGTTTTTCTGTTCCTAAATTGATACATTTGAGTTATTAGATGTACTCTTATAAAAAAATTGAACTATATTTTTAATTTTTTTTTTTATAGGTATTCGACAGTTACAATGTATTTTATTAAAAGTATCATGTTTGCTGGGGATAGAAATTCATGAAGGTGTTGGATTTGAATCACTTATACCACCTCACCAAGATCCTCAGACCAATGAAAGTAAGTTCTTAGTTCTTAGCATTTTGTTTCGAAGGAAAAATATTACTTCTTTTTAATTCTTCCTACTAACTACTACTTAATATAAAGGATGTTCTTTCATTATTATCTAAGGCTGTGTGTGTGCGCGTGTGTTGAGCAATTACTGTATTTTGAAAACACCTCCTGAAGATTTTATTTTCAAACAAAAAATTATAGACTTTGAAATATAGATAATTATGTAACTAATAAACATTATACTGGCTATAATTGTCTGATGTGTTTCATATAAATATAAAACAAATCATTAAATGATTTTAAAAAAAAATCACATTAATGGTTGAAATATTAATTTTGTTACTAAAAATTTAAAATTAATGAATATTTTAAAGAAATTTTGGACAAGTTTATTGTTCTTCTTAAATTCAGTTGTTAAACTAGAAAGTATACTTAAAAAAAAAAATAATTTATCTACTGAAACAAAAAAAATAAATTATAATTTAATCTAAATTTGAGAGTCAACTTGGATTTACAAAAACATTGGTGTGTATAGATTTAAAACCAAATATATATTTAAAATAAAATACAATATATATATATATATGTATACTGTGTTCAGTGGTTGGATGGCGTGCAGCAACAAGTCCAGCTGATCACCCAGTATCTCAGTATGAATTCAACGCATTAATTGGTGCTGATGGCAAAAGAAATACTCTTGATGGTAATTTTTTTTTTTTTTTTTTCTGGATCTAATGGAATATTTTAAATGCTTTCAGTTGCCACTTACAGTTATAATTTTTAGGTTTCAAAAGAAAGGAATTCAGAGGAAAGTTAGCCATTGCTATCACAGCAAACTTTATTAATCGACACTCAGAGGCTGAAGCAAGGGTTGAAGAAATTTCTGGTGTTGCTTTTATATTTAACCAAAAATTTTTTAAAGAATTAACTGCAGAAACTGGAATAGATCTTGAAAACATTGTTTATTACAAAGATGACACACATTATTTTGTGATGACTGCTAAGAAGCATAGTCTTATAGATAAAGGTGTTATATTAAATGTAAGTACTTAATATTTTTACTACTTAGATTTTAATAATTCAATTAACTATTTATAGTAAAGGATAAAGAAGTTTCTTTGAATAACAATGAGAAACAATAGATTTCAAATTGCAATTTTATGATTCCCTATGTAAATATTTAGCTAATTTCTTGAAATACTTTTGATTATATGCTTGTACGTTTGACGATTAAGTCATGTTTGAAGTGACACAACAATACAATAAAATAGTTTTAACAATTGCATTATGTATTTTTGATTAGTCAAGCTTAGAAATAATTGTAAAATTTTCCATATAGTTTGTAAGTTTTCTATAGTTTCCACTAAAAAATAATAGCTTTCAGAAATTACTATTCATAAATTCACTCTCCTTTAGCTTCTGTCACTTTATACGCAAGATACTATTTTTTCTTAACGTATTATCTTTCCAACATTTCTGGAAATTAATTTTCAACCTGGGAAATTGTTTCCTCTTTTGTTAATTATTAAATTTTTCCATCATTTATTTTTAGCTGTTTCTTATAACTACTAACCACAGGAAACTGTTAATTATTTTAAATGAGTCTTATTAAAGGTACTTTAGAAAAAGCTATTATGAAAAAATTGACAATTCATCTGATATAGCAAGTTCAAATTTTTGCTAGATCTTTATGAGAAATTTGTTATTATGTATCAAAATTGATGAAATAAAGTACCGTTTCTGGTTGATCTATTTTAACAAAAAAGTTCCTCTAACATCCCAGACATATATCTCTTACATATTTAAATATTTCAGTTTCATACGACTTTTCCTTTTCAGAGCTTACTGTTCAAATACTTAATCACGACTTTGTTGTTTGTACTCAATGAACTATAAACGTGTATTTCTGTTGAACAATCAGATTTGAAACTTTTTATGATCGCAATACTTTCTCTTACTGTATATCTCATATATAGGTTAGTAAAAGTAAAAAATGTTGTCATTTGTTTTACTTCTATTTTAAAACGTAACCGAAAGCCATTTTGGTACTACACAGAAAAAAATATATTAAAATCTGGTTGCAATGCGCATCAAATAACTTTTATATTTGCTCTATTACAACTTTATATACACACATACAACTTGAAGAGACTTGGTTATTTGCCATTAGGGTACCTCAGAACCTGTATTTCTTTCAAAAACTCGAATTCAACTTTGTTTCAATTGCTATACTTTCTGTTACTATATATTTGGCATATAGGTAAGTGAAAGTAAAATTCTTTAGAATGTTAATAAACTAATGTATTTTGGTTTTTGACTTATAAAATGAAGTTATTTTGAAAATTAAGTTTGCATAATATTAAATCAAAGAGATAAAAATAAGATTTCCAAACAAATTTAAATGTTAAAAAAATATTAGTTATTTTATTTTTTAAATACTTTATGGTTTGAAAATGTCATCCTATATATTATTTCTAAAAGGTGTTTTTTTTTGTCGGTACGTCATAACTTCGTCAATTCTTCATCAAATCCAATGATTGACCGCTAATTTTGAAGATATTCTTCTCCTTCACATGTGAAAAATAGTCCTATCCCCCCGAAATTTTTGAAAAAAAGTTATGAAGGAAAAGAAACTTTATTTGCGATTAACTCAAAAAGTATGCATTTTTTTCTCGATTGTACCCATGATAATTAAAAAGATTACTAAATTACCTACAAAACAAAAAAAAAAAAAAATCGGACAATTATTAACAAAGATACAGTCCATTAGTTTTGGTATACTTAATAATGTCTTCCTGTTCAAAGTTATTGCATTGAGGAGTAGAATAGTGTACTAAATTTTTTTTTCTGGATTTTATATTAACTTTATTTTTTCTTTAAGACATTTGGTTGTTCTTATATTTAATTGTTTTAATAATTAAAAGTATCCTATGATTGGGGCATTATTTTGTCTGTATTGCTGTTATTATCTTTCCAGTCAGCGTTTAAAAATAGGTCTTAGCAAAGAAATTTTTACAAATATTTTGGTCTGTTATGTTTAATATTGTAATCGACTAAGGAAAAAATATTAATTCCTTCCTTACATAATACATAGAAACTACTTATTTCTATACTGTTTTGCTATTTCTTCACTGAACAAAATTTTCTGTGAATTTTTCGCATGTTCACCTAGTAATATTTATATAGAACAATAAGAAATTATAAATTTTGTAATAGTGGAAGAGGTATTGTTCCCCATAGAACTCATAGTAGAAGTTAGTTGGGGGCGTGTGTCAGTGATGAAATAAACCATAAATAAGAAATTGGTACAGATAAGTTTTCTTGTTTCTATCTTATTTTATCATTGATTTCACCCCCATTCCCTACAAACTTCTCTAATAGGTTTAAATGTTCATTATTTATGGTTTATTTATATATTTTTAAACTATAGGACTGTCAGGATACTGCTAAGTTACTTAGTCCTGAAAATGTGGACAAAGGAGCTCTTATGGAGTATGCCAGAGAGGCTGCTGATTTCTCAACGAATGGTCAACTGCCATGCCTAGAATTTGCTGTAAATCATTATGGCCAACCTGATGTGGCCATGTTTGATTTTACTTCTATGTATGCTGCAGAAAACGCAAGTAGAATGGCCGAAGTGGCTGGACATAGATTGTTCATTACTCTTGTTGGTGATAGTCTTCTAGAGGTATGAATAATTTCAACAGTTTATCTAATATTATATAAGTTATATTTTAGGATATAAAATCTTTCTATTCATAATTGTGACATATTAACCATTGAATGCTAAAGTGGTGTATGTCAAAATAGAAGCCTTGAGGTATTCAACACTTTAGATTACTAAGAGATATTTCTTGTTAAGGAATAACAGCTTACTTTCTCTGTTAAAAATAAACAGCATCTAGTCCATCTAACTATTTAAAAGTGTGACATTGAAAGTATACATTTATTATTTTTATTTATTAATGATTATTAATTTATTTATTTTGAAAATGATTTATGCCACATTGGCATTCAATGTTCATCAAGGCTTATGTAATCAAGAAATTTCATTTTCCTATGAATTCCCTTGGCATAGTATTTTTCTATATCACTACATGATATATTCGGAGGCTTAGATTTTTTTGCAAAAGGAAAAGTAGCTTATAAAACACAATTATGCATACTTTTTTATTAAATCTTGATGATTAAGGGACCAAATTCAGAATATGACAGAGACAATTTTTTTGGACTCGGGAATCCTCCATTACCACATATATTGATCTATGCCTTCACTTATTTGATTCTATAAACCATTCTTGGCATGTCTGATATGTATTCCAATGGCCTGACCTAACTCTCTCTAATATTTTTGTATAGTATTATCTTTTGATTGATGAGTATGCTGTGTCATTTAGCAACTCAACACAGTTGAGCAGCCGTGCAATGTTGTATTTCTTCTTATGATTTTGATAAAATTCGTGGAAATAATATTATTTTACTTTAAAGGAATTTTTTTAGGTTGGCTAACCTCAGCTCGTTCCCACTATCACACGTATCTGATTTTCTTCATGCCCAATCAAGGACCTCTTTGCATTGATGATTATTTACCTAATGCACGTTATAGTCTCTAAACTAATCCTAGTCTTGCTATTCCAATGATTTTCCTGAAAATTTAAAAATGCTCAAATCAACTTTGAGCTTTTATGTATATTAAATATATTGCAATAACTTAATGATTCTAAATTTTAAATTGAATAAATAAAAGAATTATTTACAATGAAAGAAAATATTGATCTTAACGAGGTCATCCATTTGCTCCTCATAGTGGAAAAGTGGTTTGGCGTAATGTTTAAGTAATTCTCAGGCTTTAGGATTACATACAATTTTTTTTTTCATATGTTGTTTATTAATAAATCCTTTACGGATATCTAATTCATTTATTAATAGAAGATAAATATTAGCATCTGCTTAAAAAAAAAAAAATTGAATATAAAAAAGTGCAAGAGTCCATAATTGAAGAAATAAAGCTATTTTAGTTTTTGTATATTAATTGGTGAAATTAATTTAAGTACTAGTTCTGGTCAGTATTTTAATTTTACTAATTTGCTTCACATTAATTACATCATATTATTCATATTCATATCTAACCAATGCCACTTTCTTTTGTCTGCTTGAATCATTCATAGCTGTGTCTATGGCTATTCTATTTGAATTAAGTTTGAATAGTTTATTCTTTAAAAGTATGTTTCCTATCCATTGCACTGCCTACAGTTTTAAGTTCTCAAGTAATCTGTACTTATCTATTCAATTTTTAGAACTGCACTAATTAATAATAGGAATAATTATTGTGACTAATTTACACAAGTGACCTTCTATCCATTATTTTTGTACCAGTAGTTTGAGAAAAATTAAAGTGGTAAGGAATTATTGGAAACTATGTGTCTTTTAGCCTTTCTGGCCTACTGGTTCAGGATGTGCTCGAGGTTTCCTGAGTTCCATGGATGCCTGTTGGGCATTAAGATCTTGGAGTCTTGGAGCCCATCCTCTGGAAGTTCTGGCAGAACGAGAAAGTATTTATAGGTTGTTAGGACAGACCACACCTGAGAATTTGCAAAGGGATCTGCAATCATACACTCTGGACCCTCATACTCGGTTTGTATTGTTTATTAATACTAGATTATACAAGCATTTGTAATTTGTATGACTTTTAAGTAACATTTCCTTTCCCCAAAAGAATAGGGTTGTTATTTGATTGAAAATTCAATGATTACTGGGAATAGCCAATGAATTTTGAATCAGTGCTGGGAAAACCATAAAAAGTCAAATTTCAAATTGATATTAAAAATTCGAGAAAAGTAACGAACTTTGGTTGAAAAATCTGCAAATTTGATCCTCTTTTCTAAAAATGTTGTTTATAAACTGCAGTGAATTTAATTAGCCATAACCCCTTGTAAAATTATGATGTAATTAAAAAAAGTGAAAAATTAAAAAAAAGTTGATTCTTCTGAACTGATCAATAATTGAATAAGCTGTAATTATTTTAAGAATATCTACTTGTATTTCATAGCAAAATGTTTTCCTAGTCTATTCTAGTTATTTAATTAAATTACTGAAAGGCAACAATTTAAAACTGTTGTTTATATATTTCCATTAAATCATGGAGATAGTGAATATTCTTTTTTTTAATTTATAAAAATCTAGTGGTTTGAATGACATGATATTGTCTGGTTAACCTTCACTGTGCTTTATTATTTAAATGAATGCTATTTGTGCTATGGTTTTTTATAGTAAAATTATAAGATTACAAGCCAGTGAAATAAGATTTTATTAAAATTTTAATTTTCAGATATCCTAATCTAAATATAAGAAGTGTGATACCTATTCAAGTTAGAAATCTCTTCACAACTGATGACCCTGAAGCAGTCGATAAATTTTTAAAGCAACCTGTTAATGTCCATCTTCCAGCCCGAGATGATCATCCCAAGAAAAAACGAAAACGTGGTATGATTTTATATGTACATTTATATTCACTTCATTTTAATCTAGTATTTATAGAATGCTCTCTTCTCCCTCATATCCTCTTGTCATTGGGAAAAGTTTTTCATTCACTAGTCTCACAAGCTGTTTCATTATCAGAAGTTATTGTGATCAGTTTGGCAATTCAACTTCCATTATTTTTTTTTATCTCACAATTTCTGGAAATATTTTTCCTATCATCTACATTTTAATTTTTAAAATATCTGTTATTTTAACTGTATCATTGTGGCTCCTGTTGTCATCTAATAAAAAAATCTAAGGTCACGGGGTATTACATGGTAATTATAAAAATAGTTTTAATATGTTTTGTGATCAACTCAAAATCCCTCTTTGAAGAAGTTGGTAACTCACAGCTCTTAAGGGCGGGATGGCCTAGGGGCTAACGCATGTCTTACCTGATGGAAGATATTTTGATAAAATAATGATAAGTTCACATTCTGGTTTTGGAGTCTTTTAACTCTGGCATTAATCCCCCTTTCTCACCCCTTGGTCCAAGAAAACACCGTATAGCCTATAAGGTCAGGAAGGAGAGGACAAAAAAAAAACCATAAGCTCACAGCTCTAAATCATTTCAAGGTCTATATAAAAATGATAGAGTCACCATCTTCAAAGTTGCCATACAAATTCTGGGATAAACAGAATACATATAACTTATCAGGACCATTTTTATGCTTATCACGTTCATTGTTGTGATGATAGAAACTTTCTTTTTGTTTTTGTCCATCCCTAACTTACCCTTTAGGTTATACGAGGATTTTCCTGGGCCAGGGGAAAGGGCAAGGAATTAATGCCACCTCCCAGCACTGGGATGCAAACACGTAATTATTTTATATCTTATCAAAAAATTTGGTTTATGAATCTGAACAGCTGGTTGCCAGGCAATGCGTGTTTTGCACACATATTAGCCCGCTCGACCACCCTTTCCCGGCTATAGAAACTTTGCCTTTAATTTACAAAATCAGGAGCTGAAATTACAGTGCCAACTATATTTGGGAACTTCCCAGATTAATCAAACTAAGAAAAACATTATACAGAAATTGATTATATAAAATGTAGATTTTACAAACTCCAGATATTCCAGAATTTAATCCATGTTATGATAAGTATACATTATGAAAACATTTAAGTAAACTCTACTTTATCTACCATTCTTAAGTGCCAGTACAATATGATTTCTTCAATGACATGTTCCATAATATAAGTGTTATATGAATAATTATTACACTGTTTATAGTAATAAAGAATAATAATTACTATTGAGAAACTGCTAAGGCGATTAAAATAAATTACTAAGTTTAGTTTTCTAAAATTAATAATCCTAATAAAGCTTAAAAAATACTTCCTATAAAACATTATATTTGTTATTTAAAAGACTGATTTTTTTATATATTTTTTTGTTGCTCAAATCTTTTTTTAGTCAATTTTTTTCATGTATTATAAATAAATTTAGTTATAAATTATACATTTTTAATATTGGTTTCCCCAGACATATTAGTCTAGGAAAACTGTCATTAAATAGGGAAATGTCATGAAACTTTAACTGTCTGGTAGTCACCCTACTGTATCACTAAAGAGTGTAGCACTGAGATAGTTATAACGATTCTAATGAAATTTGTCTTAACCCTTTAAATGTATGCAACTAGTATACTTGCCTGAAAATAGGTTAAAAAAAGTTTAATGAATGTTGTATTTTATTTGCTAATTACTAAAAATTACACACTTAATCGTTGGTTCTACTTGTTTGAAAGATAAATAAAATTACATAAAATATCAAAATTAGACCTATTTCTGCAGAGATATGCCATTTTGAATTTTCTGCATATGTTCTAATTCGAAGTTTATTTAATTTTATAACTCAAAAACTATATCTATGGAAGCAGTTGAGATTGTTATTTGAAGAATAACTTGCTTTTCTAATTTTTCCAGAAGTGGAAGGAGTGTAACATATTTGATGTGTTACTATATGGATATAATAAACTTTTGTGTTATAATTTCCAATATTTTTATTTAAAAAATTCAAAATAGTTACCCGTGAAACATTAGGGTTTGAACGAACATATTAATAAAATAGGAAGAAGGAAAATGTACTTCTCAAATAACTTTTTAAAAAATTTATAATAATTGAAAAACTATAAGTAAATAGAAACTCTATTATGACCTCTGACAAATGAAAATCTCTATAATATTAAATAACAGTCTTGATTGATTTTATAAAATCATTCCAACATGGTTATCATATTAAACTCAAATAAATACACTTAAAATTAAGTTTAGGTTGTCTCTGAACAATTGACTTACAATCGCTGAGATTCAGTCTCTCTGCCCTCTTTCCTCTCCTCTTCCCTTTTCAGCTATAAAGATTTAATATTTTTTTATTGAAATTAATTAATTTTATGAAATAATTTTTTATTAAATATTTAGGAGAAAATTAAAAAGAAGTATTAACTTCAGTTTGATAAACTTGAAAGAAGAAAAAAATTGATTTATAAACTTTTTCATTTGTGTAATGGCAAAAGAAATAACGTCTTTCATTAATACATAGGAAAAAGTACAATCTACTACATGAATTTATTTAAAAGTATATGTTTTATTTGTATTTAATTTAGTTTCTTGTTTAATAACAGAGTGCCATCCAGAAACATTATTACATTGGTTGAAGCGCCAGATACATCATTATGAATCTGTGCCTAAAGTTGAAGATGTAACTTCGTCTTTTAAGTCTGGACTTGCCCTGTGTGCCATAATTCACAGGTACCGTCCACATTTAATTGACTTTTCTTCCCTTAATCCAGAAGAAGTTGCTAAAAACAATCAGTTAGCTTTCGATATTCTTGAAAGAGAAGCTGCTATACCTCCAGTAAGTGTAAATTTATACTCTTATTTATCCATGTATATTACTTAAATAATTATATTCTAATATTTCTGTCAAAATATTTGTGTAATAATCATTTGAGACTTTATACTATTGATTTCTGATGAAAATTTAGTTTGGTCTTCATGGAAAATTTTGTTTCTCTATTTTCTTTTAGAAATTCATCGATTACTTTAATGTATTTTGTTTGCTTTGTAATTACTTTTTTTTTTTTTTTCAATTTTGTGTAATAAACTGAAAATGGACTTCATTATGTATGTATGTTTTTGAAAATTATTCTGTTGTAGTATGTTTTATAATATGTATGCTGTTGCGATATTTGTTAACATTTGCAATCAATACCTATCTTTATTTCTCTATCCATGCTTTGGTATCTTTGCATAAATTTCTGTTCCATTGGAAATATCATCACCATCCTGTTGACGTAATAAATGTGAGAATGGCCAATTTTAAGAAAACCAAACACTTCTTGTTGTACTTTTAACTTTCTGTTACAATTTTTACTTTTACTGATCAACATTTATAATATATAGTAAGAGAAAAAAAATATTGTGATCATGAAAATTTTAGAATCCAAGTTTTTAATGGAAATTCACGTTTTGAGGTTCCCTGATTCCAAATAACCAAGTCCCACAAAATTGTCTATGTGTGTTTATGAAAAGTTTAGCCTCGAATATCACTTATTTAAGGTATGTATGTGGCTGGGATGTTCCAGCAACATTTTCCTAAAAATCAGCTAACCAGAAGTGGCATTTAGTATCATCGATTTTACACAATTTTCTCAAAACCAACTTTTACAATTTTGATTAGATTCATTATATCAGTGTAAAATTAAGCAGTTTTTAATATAATCTAGGTCTTATTCTCATTGGTGTTTTCTAACAGGTATTATATGCCTAATTTTCAAAATTTCTACTTCTTACTACCTTCAGTTATTTTTATTTGAAATGAATAACCATTTAACATTATAATCTGCTCTAAAAAATGGTTAAATATAAAATATGAAAGAATTTTATAATTAATTAAATGAGAAATAAGGGATCGTAATAGAGAATAATAGAGAGTCGAAAAAACCATGCTCGCCCAAAAGGTTAGAATAGGCTTCCATATGTAACACATGCTTAATTATATATGGACTTTTCATTAATGCTAGCTTCGGTATTATTTAATATTTAATTCTATAGATTTCAGCAATACAAAAATAAAATTTTCTACCAATGCTAAAACAAATAAAAATACCTACAATAAAATATAAATGAATGTAGTGATCTTCTTTGTCATTGGCACTCTTGTTGGACTAAAAATATTTTGTGGCACTTAATTATTTATTATGATCAAATAAATAATTAAAATAGACAATCGTAAAAGGAAATGGTTAGTGACAAAAAACATAAATATAATATATTAGAGGGCTATGAAAAACATGGTAATTAAGTCTCTGAAATTACTTATTTCTGCTAAATAAGAAAGGTTGGTAAATGAAAGTTGTCTGATGCATGCACCACACTTTTTTTTATTTATATTTATATGCCTATTAATGTAGTGTCATTATGAGGTTCTGTTTTGCAAAAATACTTCTGATAAATTAATGAAACAATTAATTACAGTAATGAAAATTTTCACGTCTGTTACTCCAATATGATGGTGATAATATTACAAAATCTTCACTAAAAATTGCAACATGAAAAGCGAGTTGTGTCACGGTTAAATGATCTCTATTTAGTTATGAATTATTTGGTGAAGTTGTGACTATGTTGTTTTTTTCTCAATTTTTTTTTAATGATTAACTAAAATATTGTATGTACTATATATTGATATCGATTATTTTAATTGTAATATAATAATAGACATTTGCTTTCTAGGTAATGACTGGTGAAGAAATGGCAGAATGTGTCATACCTGACAGGCTTACTATGTTATCATATCTTTCACAAGTATATGAAGCTTTCAGAGGAGAAATCCCCCATATTAAACATCCTAAACTTGTAATAATACTAACTTTTATTAAGAAATGAATTTTTTTATATATATTTGTAAAGAAAAGAATATATATTTTTTAATGTTAATGTTCAAACTGTATCTCTGTTTCAGGAAGAAACTGAAGATGAAAAACACCATATTACACATTCAAGGGAACCTCGTATTCGTTCGCATTTGACTACTGCACATAAAATTTCACTTTTAGGTAAACTAACTTCTAAAACGCCTAAGAAAAGGAGAAGCCATTTGGGAGCTGTAAGTATTTATAAATTTGAAATATATTATATTTATCACTATTATCAATTTTTTAAAAGAAATATTTTATTATTTAATAAAAGTATTCCTATTTTACTATTTCTTCAGTAACTAGCCATTCTAAAGTTACCGATGATGCAATTGTTTCGTTTTAATATGCTTTTGATCAATAAGTTTTTCAATATGAATTAAATAAAGTTTTTAAGAACCTAAGTTATGAAATTAAAATAAAAGGATTATAGGCAGAACATAGTATAGTGAACATGATTAATAAGTTACTTTGTGCAAGTGAAACAAAACTTCCTTCATAACTTTTTTTTTTAAGTAATCTTAATTTTTATCCTGTTAAATGATGCAATAAGGGTTTTAACATTTCTTGAATTCATGTAATTCAAAATTGTTTTACTTTCTTTTGAAGGTCTATTATTTAGTATCTTATTCGTTATAATGAATGATCGTTCCTGTTAGATATATTAAAGGATTCACAAATGCAAATATATCATAATTTATCTAAGCTAAACAAAGTATTTATCAGGAACTACTGGCTGCTGAAAGAAAAGAATGGTTGGATAGATTTGAAAATGCCCGGGATGAACGGAGGACACAATATGCCATAGAAGAGGCTAAGGAATACACAGAGCGCTCTGAACGTCTAGCTGAACTGTCGAGAGTTAGGCATGAAAGAAGGGAAAGGCTGAACGAAATAGAGAAGAATAGAACCGAACGTATTATAAGAAAGCAGTATATGAGGCATATCCTCAACAAGCAACTTGTGAAAAGCATGACTATGCTTTCAACCAATGCAAAATCTGATGAACCTTTTGAAGATTATTCTTTGTTTGTTTATCGAATGACTGCTCCAGATTTTAAGGACAGGGTGAAACATCTTGAGAATAAGCTTCTATATCCTGTAAGCGTTAGTTTTGAGAATGCATTTATGTGGTGCAACCTAAAAAGACAAGACGTGTGAGCTATTACTAAACATGTTTTTTCTGCACTTATTGTTTCTTCTCATACCTAACAGATTATATTTTTCTTAATCAAATAAAAAGTTTGCATGAAATAATATTTGAAGTGTGGCGTTGCAAGATTTAGGTAGTAACATATTAATTTTATGATAAGTATTGATTTTTTTTATTTAATGGTTTTATATTACTGTAAAATTTTAATACCATTTTCATGTCTCATTTTATGCCTACATTTTTTTTTTTTTTTAATATGTTACCTGGATGAAAATAAAATGCTTTTACAGTGCTGTCTGGTTTTGATAATTGATTGTATTTTCAAATATATATATTTTTTAATTTAATTATTTTTCTTTACAGATTTTATAGCCTAATATAAATTTCCAGATAATCATTTAATTTTCTTCTCTGATAAAAAATTTATATTTGTTCTCTTTCATACTTCTTTGATAGTTAACATATCTTGTAATAAAGCATATTTATGCAATATGTTTTTAAATATAGATTAGAATAGATTTTTTAAATAGTGATTATTCTTTGGCTTTTATTTCTTGCTTTTGAATTTAGTTAGCTATTTACTACACTTAAACATTGAATTATTTCATCAAAAAATAAATTAATATATTTATATTTCATGAACTTTCCTAATTTTATTCAAATATGATCAGATAATGGTCAATGAAGGAAAGTAGAATAAAAGAGAATTATATTTTTATTCTGGGTCATTTAGCGATAATTATTCTAAGAGTTACAAAAATGTAAATTAAAACAGCATTTGTCTGATTGCATTGATATAATTGAAATTTAATTATAAACAGAAGAGAAATTAATGCTTAAAATAAAAGTCTAATTTTCATAAAAATATTAAATAATGAAATGCTATTAAAAAAAAAATTTAATGAACAGAATTTTAGGAGCTATTTATGGATCATGATAGATTTTTCGGTGGTTAGGATAATCTGGAAAATTTAGTTATTCTAGCTTAAGTATTTAACAAGTGTAACCCAGAGGTTTTTTCTATAGAGCTTTTGGAATTGAATAGAAATGTTGTTGAGATAAGTCATGGATAATAGGGAAATGTCTTTAAGCCAGTGAGAATCACATTAGTTTCTGCTGGGTTCAAGCTTAGTTTATTTTCCGAAGTCCAGCAGTTAGTACTATTTATGTCATCCTGGAACTTAAGCATATGCAAGTAAAGCCTCAAGCATATGTAAGTAGGGTGAAAGGAAAAACATATTTTAGGTTGCAGGCATACAAAGGGTACTTCGAATGACGATTGTTGTTAATAACGAATTATCAAAACTTCTGGAAAACAGTAGAACCATCTATCCTCTATAATAGATATTCCAATTTGTTGAGCACCTAATAACATCACATTTAATTTATATCAAAAAGTTGGTTTGAATTATATATGTGATAAAGTTTTTTTTGTGTGACACTCAATTATTTCAATTGTTATTGGTTTGTCTTGCCCTGTATTCATCCATAAAATCTCTCACAACTAAGAAAGAAAACAAAGAAATTTTTAAAATAAAAATTTGCAGTATTTTTAATTCAAACTTTCACATAGTTGAAATTTTATTTTAGTTTATTATAGCATGTTTGTAAAAATGTTGCTTGGCTAATCTGGAATTTTCCAAAAAAAAAGGCAGGAATTTCTTTCAGTGGAATTAGACACCATGCTCCAGCAACCTGCTAGATTGATCTTGTTGCTGCTGTTATGAAAGCTTTACAGAATTTTATTGTTATAAATTGATATTTCTAGTTATCAATGCACAAAGACCTGCTATTGGTGCAGTTATAAGAAACAGAATTCAAAATTGCTTTTTAAATATTTCTTCAGTGAAAACATTTTGGTGCTTCATTCTTGGTGCCATCCTGGTTATTTTATATTTTTAAAAAAGAACTAATTTCTCAAAAATTAAAGTTTTGCTTATTATTTGTCTAATCAACATAAATTTTCTTTAGTAAATGAACAGAGTGACTTTTGATAAAATAAGTTGAGAAGCATGGTATATGATTAATACATTATATACGCGAATTTCATTTTAATTATGAATTGTCCCTAAAGAAAGACTAAAGTTTTACCCAAGATCACAATTAAATACATTAATAACAATGAAAAAGTAAAACTGATGTTTGAAAATTACACTAATATTAAATTGGAAAATTAAGTTTGTTTATTAATGTAATTGATGGCTGATATAAAAAGTAAGTAATTGATGTATTTGTGGGAATTAGATTTTAACCCAGAATGCATCATAATTTTTTTTTTTTTTGGAAATCTCCATATTGGTTTATGAACTTCCATATCTTATTTCTTTTTAAGAAAGTTAGAATTGTTGAGTTGTTGTTGTTTCATATTATCTCAGTTCACTGACTGTGTTAAATATTATCCATTTTGATACTTCAACAGAAGGTCAAGTACCTTAGTGAGTAATGCAATTGGTCCTATCTCACGGGCCCAGGAGTCCTTCTGTGGCAGAAAATTTCCCCTTAATTGTTGGACAATCTTGTTGGCGACTGTTCTCATGACCAAATCACCTCTTATGGATCCCAACACATAGGTTGTGGTATTACTTTTTTCTTAAACTTGTAGTTGTCTGTAACAACTAGATTTATACTTAATGTTAAATTAATATGTACTATGAATATCAATAAGTTTTTATATTATTATAAATATATTCTACTATTAAAATGTGATGGTGATTTATTATTGAGCTATTGGAAGTTTTTGTCAGGAACTAATGGTAGCCGAAAAAAGGGAGTGGTTGGATAAATTAGAAAGTGCCCGAGCTGAAAGAAGAGCACAATTTGCCAAAGACTGTGGAAAAGAGCATGACGAACAATGTGAGCGTTTAAAGGAGCTTTTAGAAGTTCAAAACAAACGAAAAGAAAAGTCCAGCGAAGTAGAGAAAAATAAATCTACTTGTATGCAGAAACAATATATGAAACATATTTTGAACAAGAAGATAGAAAAATGTCTGACAATGCTTATGACAAATACGAAACTTGACACTCCTACAGAAGACTATTCTCTGTTTTTATATCGAAAGAATGCTCCAGATTTCAAGGACAGGCTAAAACATTTTGAGACTAAGCTTCCTTTTACTGTAAGCTTTAAACATTTGAATGTCTTATGTATGTGGTGCAACAAATGTGGAAATGAAATTAAACTTGTCTGTTTTCCTTATTGTTTAATTTAGGTCTCTGTATTATTTTATTTAACTTCTTTGAGTCTTGCATGAATTAATTTTTATTTTATGAGTTAAAATGGTTCTGTTGTTGGTGCTACATTAAGGCTATATCAACTTTGATTTATGTATATGTACAGTGAAACATCCCCTAATGGACGCTTCTAAAAAAAATTTTATTCACCCCATCAGGATTTACTACATTTGAATTTTTTAATAATTGGACACAGTTGCTGAACTGTATGTTTTTTCTTCTGGTAAAACTTCTAATAAATCAGTATAAAATAAATGGAAACAGCAGACATAAAACTCTAATTTATCCCAAGAATAACAGGAAGCAATTCATTTGTTTATGTTATAATATCTGTTTTCCATTGTTTTCTAGGAAGATGTTTTTGTCTCCACTTAATATTTCTTTCAATACTAAAACTTTATTTCAACAATATATTTCAATTATTTAAAAGCATCATCTTAGGAAAATTAAGACTAATAGATCATAATTGCGAATCCTTGGTTAAATTTATGATTGTGTGACAACACAAATTGATTCAAAGTCAGGAAAACAAGTATTGTTGACACATCAAAAATACCAAAAACAAAAGAACATATAATAAATCTTAAAGAGTTCGCATGATAGGCGAATAAAGGCCATAATGATTTCATAGTTAGTATGGCCATATAGTTAAGAGCATTATGCATTTTTGCAATTTTATTATGCATATTAGTTACTTTTTTTAAAGTTTATATACATGCATACTTTTTTATTTTCATGTCTTATTTTTTCATAATTATAATAAACAGACAGATCTATTAAGAAGACACAACTTCTATCCCTAGTTATTTCCATGTCATGAGAAGTTCCACTGTATATATAATGTATGTTCATATGTATGAATGTCTTATATATGTATGACTCATTTAACTTATATATAAACCAGTTTTTAGGCAGTAAATAAGGATCATAGAAAAACAATAATTCTGAAATATGATTTTAAAATAGTTATCACAACAAAATAAAATAAATAGTGAGTAGAGATACTGAGACACAAAGTTTAACTAGAATTTATTTTCAAAGAAAATAGAAAGTTACATTTTCAACTATATAATTTGAATATTGAATTTGCGTATTGAATACATTTATTTAATTCAAGATTATTTTTTTAGTTTTCATATTGTTGGTGTTTGTTTTTTATTAAAAAAAAAGACCAACATTTCACCGATCCTCAAGTGTATATTTTACAAAAACTTTCAGGAAGTGAATTTTCACTATTATTACAAAGTCTCCGTTTTTACATACTGGTAGCTATTGGTGACATAATTCTAAGAAAGCGAAAATTAAGTCATTCTCGTTTGTTGATTTTTTTTTTTTACAGAATCTTGACAATATATTTGAATGCTTTATTTGAATGTAAACTATTTTATAGATTTATATTACTTTTTTTGTTATATTTCATATTATTCATAGTCAAAATCATATTTGGACTTGAATGAACTCAAATGATTTATTTTTATCTCAACATTGGTCATTAATTTTTGTGGTAGTGGTGGTTATATAGCAATATTTTCTGCATTGGCAATCAGATATTCAAACATTATATGATTTTGAAATTAAAAAAAAAAAAAATCTTTTATATCACTTAACAACTTTCAAGCTAACTACTCAATTTGGTCTTTTTTTTTTATATTCCTACATTGTTAAAGACTCGGATTCTTCTCATTTATAGTTGGGATTTGATTCATCTATGATTTAGTCTTAAATGGTTTTGGAACTTCTGTTTTAATAAAAATAGTAAAACCTTCTTTTCTTGTGCCACATAATTTTATTTAATTTATATTATATGATCCATGAAGTAAATCGAACCGAAATACTGCATAAAAACTGTTCCCACTGTATATATATAAATAATCTGTAACTCATTTGTACCTGTGGTGTAGTGAAATTGTTCAGTTCATAAATACTTGAAATGTATTTTAACCTGTTAACTGTGTATGACAAAATATCTCTTTCTTTCTTTCTTTTTTTTATAAAATATTTTGTCTAATAAATAAATTCAATAAGTTAAAAATTATTTTTTCTTTTATTATTTGAGGTGTGATGATATTACTTACAATTATAAAGAAAAAAAATCCCATTGTAAAACAAGTTTTTATTTCCCGTTTAACAGGTCAAAGTAAATATGCAGTTCTTACAAAAATGATAATAAATAAATCAGTTTAGCTTTCAGAATTAAATACTTGCTCAACAATTATCTTCATTAGAATTAGTCCTTGTCTTTTTATAAATTTCAAAGCAGATTTTATTTTTTGTTTTAATTAGTTTTTTTCAGGTATAATGTACTATGATTGTTTGCCCTCTCATTTACTATATAATGCTCCTGAAGTTTATATTTAGATTTAATATTATAAAACTGTAACTATTTAGTGAAATTTTTTCTTTTGCTATAGTTACGGTGTTCCGTTTATATCTGTATTAATGAAACATTGGATCAAGTTTGTCAAAAATTAAACTATCTACTATTATAACCTGAATTCAAATTTTTTATTATTACTTTAATTTATTAGAAATCAAGCCACTTAAATCAAATGAAATGGTTGAATGAATGATTCTTTAATTAAGATAAAATGGAAACCTGAAGGTGAAAATAAAATTTTAATGTTTTATTTATAAATTCTTGACAGTTCTGTTCGAACTTGCTGCCTATTACATTTCAATAGAATTCCATCCTACTAGAAAATAGTGAATTTTTCACTATTTATAATTTCGTCATTATAATTTTTTTTTTGTAGATTACTATTTCCTAATCTTGGTCATTTTTAACATTGATCCATTTTTAAACTACTTATTATTAATTTGATAAGAGGTTTTAACTTAATTAATCTAGATATAAAATAATTAATACAAATTTTGGATGCAATTGATTTACTGTGATGTTCTCGTTTTGTTTATATTTTTTTTACTATCGTCCTAATTTGTCTTAATTAATTTGTTATTTATATAGTTTTATTTTATTTATTTACTATTCTGTTAGCATGTCTATATTTGTTTCAATGTATTTGTATAAATCACAAAATAAGAATTAATTTTTTTGCCCATTTAGTCATCAGTGGTTAATTATAATTTTTTTTTAATTTATAAAATTACTATATAGAAGGAAATAAGTTCAATATATTTAATTTCAATCTTGAATAACAAATATTTTGATGACACGTGAAAAAAAGTTTTAAATATGAAATATATCTTAAGAACTATTAAGAAAAAATAAAACTTATAAAATCTCTTATTGTATTAGTAGGAAATAACCAATTAATTTGTGATTAGAATTAAAAAACAATAATAATAAACTGAATTTATATTGTAGGACCGAGAAAATAGACCTTTGGATCAAATAAGAAAAGCTGGGGCAACTGATGAAGATTTTACTGGAAGGGTTAAGGATTTGGAAGCGAAATTGAGAGGAACCCACAGTGATAAGAAACCAAAAGATTTGCTCAGGGCAATCGGTAAATCAATTATTTATTTTTTATGATGTAGAGATGGTTGACCGTTGGTATAATATGAGGAGTTGATCGGGGGTGGGGGGGGAGGGAGGGAGAGTGCAGTCAAATTAATACTAAATTAAACAATTAATTTGACCGCATCCCCTGATCAACTCCTTCTCATTTATTTGTTATGTTTATTGTTCAATGGAGACCTTATTTTTTAATTTATGGTTATAATGATGTGGCATGTGTTTAAAATTTATCAGTGGAATTTTGATTTGTTATAGGAAAAATTGAAAAATCTGATTGGAATGTTAAGCAGATAGAAAAAAAAATGGAAGAAAACAGAATGGGGAGAGGTTTAATTGCACAGAAATCTGAGAAAGTGCCGAAATGGAGCAAACAACAATTTGAAGATAAGGTATTCATCCAGCTTTGAAAATGATTATCTCTTGATTAATAGAGGTTTTGTTATTTATTTAACAAATTTTATTTTTTATCAATAGTTTACTTTGGTTGAGAAAAAACTTAGAGCCAAAAGCAACGATGCTGGCCTCAATGAAAAGTATTCTAAAATAGATGATAAAATGAAATCTTTGGAACGAAGAATCAAAGATGGCATAAAGTTAGAGCAAGGGCCAAGGGGTTCTAACAAAGTTTCAGCAATGGCTGCCCATTTAGCTACTATTAATAAACAACCAGAACCTCAGATAATTCAGGTATGGTTTAATTTATTTTATGTCCATTTGGGTAATTTTCAGATCATCTTATAATAATATTTAGAAACAAACCGAGTTTAATTATAATAGTATTCAATGAAATAATTAAACAAACAGTAGTCTTCCATCAATGTTCTTTGCTTTAAAACGATGCATTATTGTATTATTTGCTGTTACTTTTTCAAGTTCTGGTTTCTCCTTTATCCCTTTCCCATTTGCTTATAAAATATTTTTCATAAAATAGTGCTGTAGCTTTTTGTGTAATATGAGTGGTTTCACCAGTGATGTTTGTTAAGCAATTATTTCTTTAATGATCTTTGGATTTTAGATAGACCCCCATTACTTTGAATTTTGTGTTTTTAATTAACATAAATTTTCGACTGACTAAAATTGATTCATAAATATCTGAAATTTTAGTTTGAATCATTCCTAACCATTTTTCATGCTCTTACTGCTAAAAAATGGTAATTTTTTCTAGTTTATTAATTATATCATAAAACTAAAATGCAATGTTGTTAACTAGTTTTGGTCATTGACGACAATGTTACTTCTATTAATAACAATATCTAGTTATAACTGTCAGTTCTGTTAAGTCAAAGATACATAAAATGAAATGGTTTCACAAGGTGAAAAGAAGAAATTTTCAAATGGGCTTCTGTGAAATCTACAGTACTAAAATATAGATTTTTATATCAATATTTTCAAACTTATAAAATGTCTACCACAGCATTAACTTTCTTATGATTGTTAAACCATGAATAACATAAGCTTGATCAACATGGGGCACAGAAAAGCTACTGTGTCGACTAACATTAAACTTTGTCTTTGGATATCATTGCTCTTGACAAAGACTATAAACTGGCAATTCCTAAACAAAAAATTGATTTATTTATGAATATTAAGAAATTGTCCATCATTTAAAATCGAAAATGCAAATTTAAAGACAGAATGTCTAGTGACCAATGGTGTCAGGGTTCTCCCCAGTAAAACTATTAAAGAGTATCAGCAGCAAGCTCTCATTTGTCTGAAAAGATTTTTGTGATTAATTTATTTCAGCGGCAATTATTTTGATCAAGGAAAATATTATTAATATTTTGTGATCTTTTGTATATCATTTTGATAGAAATAAATCAGGATTTCTTTTAAAACTAGGAAGTTTCGATAAAGCTCTCACTTAGCAGGAATGCAAAAATATTTACAAAATAGATGGTGAACAATTGAAGCCATATATTCGTTTTTAGTATTTTTTAGACTGTGTCAGTATTGTGTTTTAAGATTTTTTTTTTTAAATTATTAACAAATAGTAAGATTTTAATAACTTCTGAATGGTTGTTGTGTATAGATAGAGTTAAACAAAAAAAAACATTTTTGCAACATGACCATAGCCGATCCATGATGCCCATAACTGGCATCTGTAGCCTTTTATAAAAAAAATATAAATTTTTATTTTAAATGAAAATACAACATATTTGCCAATTATGCCAAATATATGACCAAAAAATGTCATCAGAAAAACTGCGTAGGTGATACTATCCTCCCTTCCCCTTCTCTCCGCAGTTGTGTCAATCAACTTGCTTAAGTGAAGTTAAAAGACCATAACTAATGATTTACCATTAGACTAAAGGATTCATAAAAAAATTAGGTATAAAACCTCATTGAAGAGGAGATTACCTTCAAACATTATGTATGTAAACAATTTTCATGAGCTTCCTATATAAGGAAAAGAATTACTAAATTTTAATTAATAATAATGCCTAAAGAAGCAATAATAATTAAAGTATAAATAGATAAACAAAAATATTAGGGATAAAATATCATTAATTATCAATGTATAAATTAAAACCTCAAAAAAAAAAGCTATGAAAAAAGTGATCAATTTATAATTGAAATATCAGGTGACCTAATATTTGTTTTGTTTCTGAGTCACATCTACTGCCATTATTCATAATGAATGTGAACTTGTGGATTGCAATCTGCTAGAAAGTTCTTTGTGTTAAAAGTTAACTACACTACAATTGTCATGTATATAGTTGATAAGCTATTATCGATTTGTAAGTTTTTATTTGATTACTTATTTATGTATCTAAAGACTCGTGAATGGAATTGAAAATATATAGATTTCTCTTGTGAGAAATGAGGTTCGATATTAAATAGAATAATTTTAACATTTTGATTTCCTATACTCTTATAGAACAATAGATAAATTAAAATGCAGAAATCTGTATATATTGACTATTATTTTTTATTTTTTTCAATTTAGTACTCCAGTCCAAGAAAGAAAGATCTAGTTTAATTATATTGTGGTATGAATTGGACTTTTAGATCTCAACAACTGATAACATCAAATGAAATTACTATTATAATTTAACTTATAATTATATTAAGCTAAACTATGTCAAGTACATGAACTACATATTTCAAGATAAATAAGTGATCCTCTTTTCCACAGATCTAGCAAAAGATTTAGATTTGAATTTGCTCATAATATATCCATTATATTTTAAAGACCTGAAAGCAAGGCATTTTGACTAATAATGTGAGACAGGGTCATAGGCCATCTGATGTCCATATTTTCGTTGTTAGACATCCAGGTGCAATAGAACAATGTGCTCAATATAGTATAATCCTACAGGTTATATTCCAAGAAAGCTCAAGCATATCTTGGGGAGATCTTTCTTCTGATGTCCATACGAAATTAGTAGTTGTGCAATGCAAATCTTTAATAACTCACAGATTCAAAGAAAATTTAGAGAAACATTTACGAATGTAATTTGTATCCTAAATTGGATACAGGATACTGAAGCATGAAAATACATGATTACATAGAGCTCAGACTGTAATTAAGCACCTATAGGAATTTTTATCATATTTATGAAGTGGCTATTAAAAAATCTAGACCTTGATCCACATATCTGGTTACTGTCAGAGTACTCTGTGTGCTACCAGAATTCTATTCCTAATACATTAAAATTTTAAACAGCTATTACCAATGAGATGGAAAAAGTACTACAGTAATTGGTTAACAACCTCTTTGAGGCTATAGGAAGATGATTGATTATAGTAATCCATGCCACAAGCAGTAGCATGAGCTATTAAGTTAATTTTAATGGAAATTCTAGGATTTCTTTTGTTTGTAGGTTCTGCAATTTCTTTTTTTTTTTAACTCTAAATAAAATACTAGGTGAACAGATTACTTTAAATTTAATATTAAATAAATGAAATAATAATATTTACTATGATAAAAAATTTGTCAATGGCAACCTGTTATGGTACTACATTTAACACTCCTACATTTGTTTTATCTTTTATTTTCATTTTGCTTCAAGTCAAACTTTTCTTATGTTAGAAAATGTGTTCCATTTAACAAAGGCTTACTTAAACTAAATGATAAATATAAGTTATGTTTAAATTATAAAAGAGAATCTCGTGGGTCTATTGTTTCTCCTTAAACTAGCTTTTCTTGAAATTTCCATTGCTTTGTGAAATATGTTTTGTTTTTATTTATTTATTTATTATCCATTCGTATCTATATAAGCTTTGTGATAACTAATACATTTTTTTTAATATGTCATTTTTATTGATTATTTAGAAATTGTATTCAATTTACTGAATATTTTTTCTAATTCAGGGTTGCTATTTAAAAAAATGATATTATATAAGAAATTTATGTTTATGTAATATGTAAGTTTGTATTAATTTTGTTTGGGAAAAAAACTTAATTTAGATACCTTTTTTTTTTAATATCATTGATGAGCACATTTGATTTTGATGGCTTAGTTAATTTTTCCTTTACTCCCAAGAAAATTTATTTGGCCTTAAAAAATAATTTTTTTTTAGTATTATATACGTATGTGTGGGAAAGTTTTTAAACTGCCATTTTCTATATATATTCTGAAGGTGCTTTCAAGTTTCATTAAGTTACTATTTTACTTAAATATATATATATTTATATATTATATATATATATATATATATATATATATATATATATATATATATATATATTTATTTATTTATTTATTATATATATTAAATTCTAATCTCTCCTTATCATAGCTTTATAATTGTTAAATTAGATTTGTTGTTATAAGGAGCCATTAGTGTGTTAAGTAGATACATTTTTCCAAACGATAGTTATGTATACCATCTCATCTAGATAAACGTGATAAACATGAGTAAGATCCATTAGATGTCATGGTGGGTTGATTCCTTTCATGAAAGTCAAATGGAAGATTAAATCCTTTATCTGTTCTCCTAATGAGAGAAACATTGTTTCTTTAGACTGGCAAGCCAGCAGTAGTTGGAGGTTCTGGTGGAAGTGAGATGTGCCATTTCTGTAATAAGAGGGTCTACTTGATGGAGAGACTAAGTGCTGAGGGCAGGTTCTTTCACAGGGGCTGCTTCAGGTGTCAGTACTGTTCAACATCTCTCAGGCTGGGTATGTTATGTTTTCAATTGTTTTAAATATTATTTATCTTTGTTTAATGCTGTAATATCTCCAGTAGACAGCTCTTAATTAGTTGGTATACATGTTTTATTTATTACATAGAAAAATGAATTTACTTGAAGAAAATACACTAAAATAAATAAATGTAATTAATCTATAATTAAATGAGTGATAATCAATAAAATAAATTAATTAACACTGGTATAAGAGACCTTGTCCATGCTTTTAACTTAATAAAATATATTTTTATTTTTCATCTTAATGGTTATAGGTAAGATTTTTTTTATTTATTTATTCCACAAAAAAAAAATTCAATACACATTATGTGGTCGATGTTGAAACTTATAATAATAAATGATACTATATAAAATAAATAGAACAATACAATTTTTAAGCCATTAATTAAATTTTTGAAGAATGCATAGGCACTTTAAAAATAAACTTTAATTTTTACTTTCACTTATCTATAATTGAAGTACATACTGATATGTGTTTGAAAAATTTTCTAATCGAAGTTTTTAACAGAAATACGTGTTTCTCCAAGTCTGACTAAGTGGTTTGTGTTTGCATATTTTTTTTCCAACTACAAAGCAAAAAATTGTATAAAACTGAAATTATGTATATAAGCTAAATGCCGAGCATCTTTTTAATGCTTAAATCGACTTTCAAAACATCCGCTTTAAATAATTGATTTTACAATTTTCTTGAAAACATTTCTAACAATTTCAAATTAAACTAGTTAATCAACGTACAATTTAATGGTCTTTAATTTCTCATAGCATTTATCCTTATTAAAATATTATAATAGGCTTTAAATAAAAAAAATTTCAAATTGGCTTCCTCTAAAGTACATTTAATTTTGTTTATTTGAAATAATTAACCATTTCACAAAGTAGTAATAAGATATAGATAAATTTAAATTATGAAGGAACTTTATAATAAACAAAGTGGAAATTAAAAGAAAGATATGTTTCCAGTTCGAAAATGTATTTACAGAAATAAAAAAAAGTAATATGGATGTCTAGTACATTGTTAGATAACTAATGATTTTAGAAAAATTTATATCTAGCATACAAAGTCATACATTATTATGTAAACTCAAAAGAAAAACTATTGTTGAAGTTAATATCGCCAGTTTATTGTAAAATGTCACTAAGTACATTTTTAATAAAGCTAAATGTTAAAGTGCATTTTTGTGAATTTTGATCTTGTTTCTGGATATAAAAACATAGTAAGTGCACAAAAATGGCACTATCCCTTTTATATAACAAATGTAGTTGTTATATTAAATAAAGAATGTTGTGATTTCAAAGAGGAAAAATTAATCAATGTACTTAGTGATTTTAACTTTATGAAACGTTATGTTTTGCAATAAACCGGTGATATATATTTGTTTATAATTATGGAAGTATTCCAAATTGTATAATATCGTAGTTAAAAATATGTATCTAAAACATGTTCTATCTCATTTGGTATAATAAAAATATACCCATGAATCATTTTTGATTAGTGAATGATTTTTTATTTATTAGCATCTTGATTTCATGTTTATTTCTGCATAAATGGCTTGATTATTTTTTTAATTATTCATTTTTTATTCTCTTTAACTACTTAAAAACTGAATTTCAATTGCTATAAATTTAATAAATGTTTGTTCTTGTCCACTATTTATGGCTCCAGTGTTCCTGATAATAACCAAAAACTATATTCAAAGGCTGTCTTTCAATTTTAACTACTATTTTCCATTCTATCACTACTGCTTTGATAAAATCAATGATTATCAAACTTTTTATTGTTAATGCCATAATTCCTCAAACCTCGCTAGCTGAAGATATATCATTGCAATATCTCATATCATTGCAATTAAAACATTCATTGTCATTATGTGTATCAGTTATTCTGTCTCTTAATCGGTCATTTGATATATATGATAATTATTTTATATTATTTGCTTACACTGTACATTTTACAATGAACAAAATAAACTGGAGCTGAATTTTTGGTGCTCATGGATTGTATTTAGTCCATGTGCATTAGATTTAGTGACCACCGGATCAAATCATAACTGTTTAGTTTCTGAAATTTTGATAAAAAAAATGTTGTAGTCTTATGTTAATTTAAGAATACATGAACATTTTTGTTAAGCTTCAATTTAAAAAAAAAAAAACTGAACACTTAATTACAGCTTTACTTGAGAACTCTCTAATACTAACTTTCCACAGCAGGAACAGTTGGGATCCCATCTCAACTCTCGAATATAGGCAAAAAAATTCCAACATCATTTGTTGTATTTTAGTATTATTCTTTTTAAAAATGGTTATACAAATATCCTTTGTATTCTTACTTTATTTAGACAAAATCTGACAGACCTCCATTTAAAAATGATCCTGATAATCTCGATCTGGCAGCATACTTTCCCATGTAATATATATAACTGTATATGTTTAAAACATCTTTTATATTATTACATTTACTTATTTTATTGTTGTTTCTATCATATCTGAGTAATCCAGAAAATTAATTATTAATTTTGAAGTATTTTGATAAGTTTATATTTAATTTGAATATAACGCTTAAAAATGTTTATTTTTTTAAATTCAATATTTCACATAAGACTGTTTTTGTATTGATGCTCAATTATCTGTTGGTTCTTGAGTTAATTAAGTTGATTTTTTATTAAAGAATAATAGTACAAATTGCCACACTCAAGGGTAATAGGTATTAAGTCTCCTAGTATTCATAGATTTCTAACTTGATTTTGTTTTATAGATTTATACCTTGACTTTATTTTAATTTAATTTTGGACAATACAATTTATTTTCAGGAAATTATGCTTTTGATCGTGAGGGAAAATATGGCTCAAAATTCTATTGTGTCCAACATTTTGGCCTGCAAGGTTCAATAGGAAGGCGGCTTAAGGAGGATACAAAAACTGAGATACTTAAAACACCCATTAAAACAGAAAAATCACTGGAATCGGAATTGATACCTGTTGAGGTATAAATGGAATTTAAAATATTGTTTTTTGTACTTGAGTTCCTGTGAATAATCTAATAAATGTTGTGTTTTTTAGCCTATTTGTGTTCATATTTTGATTAGTATATATATATTTAATTATAATTCAAATATATATGTAGTTATTTTAGTTTTTATAATATTAATGCAATTTAATGTATATCTTTCCATAATCTTTTTTTTTTTGGATACATTAAAATTTTAACATAATGTTAAATTAGTCTAATTTATCAGTTAACGATTCTATTAATTTCACTTATACTCTCATGTATGAGGACCACAGGCGGATCTACGGGGTGTGGGGAGGGGGAGGGCTTTCGGGCCGAAGCCCTCTCCCCAAGACGGTAAAATATAACCTTGTTTTATGGGAAAAAAAAATTATCTCTTAAAGTATTATTGTTCGTGTAATTACATTTAAAAGGACTTAAGGAATCACTTAAACGTCATTTCATATAGATAGCTAGTTTCTTTCTTTTTTTTCAAAGTAAATATCGTCATTTTTATGAAAAAAAAAGCTTTCGGGCTGAAGCCCCCTCAAAATTAAATCCTGGATCCGATAGTGACGAGGACCCTAGAAGTAAAGAGATATAAGCAATTTTTTTTTTTTTTAAATTGAGTTATGTGCATGGTTGATATGAAAATGTTTATTTAGCAGTTGAGAGCTATACATTTTTATCCACCCAGTGCTGCATTATAATGGCTATTTATTTAAACTCTTAACAAATTTTTACTGGTCATTCAAAGAAAAGAGATGCAATAAACAGTTAAGCAAATTTTATTTGAATAACAAACAAAAAAATGTACAAGTGGTTGTTTTTTATTCAATAGACACCACATTTTGTAAAAACAATTTCAAGTTCATATATGAGTGGTCTCATATTAAAGAGGGACATCTATTATTTTCAGGAAGTGGAAGAAAAAGGCAATTTTTGTTTTATAGGTTCAACTCAAACTGTTTCTGATGATTTCATTTAAGAATGTTCAAGTTGAATCATGAAATAAAAAATCATTAGAATTATGTTTAATTTTGATGCTATGTTACAAAATTGGCTTTTTCTCAACTTTTTAATAATTATAGATGTCCATCTTTGATCACATATTGGTCTATTTCTATATCAGGTCATCATTTTTTAACAGAGCATAGTTTTTGAAAATAATGTCATTTAAACATTGCGTGTGAATGTTTGATCTTAAAATTGTTCATATTTTGATAAAAAAAAAAAACATCTCTTATCGCCCAATACTCAAGCTCAATATTGAAAAAATAATAAAGTTGCAATAAATTTGATTTGTGATGGCCCATTCATTATATTGAAGGTATTTTCATTTTTAAAAATGCTTCCTTGAGAATTTGCAGATTTGTCGAGAAACCATTTTAATTTTGTTTGTTTAGTGGAAATTCAACTTTATATGCCTCAATTTTAACTTTCATACTTCTCCATTGGCTTCATTCTAGTAATATAAGACCCATGTCATATTTTGAGTTCATGAAGGCCTGTTCTTATATTAGTTAATCATTATTTTTGTCAAGTGCGGTGAAGGTTGTCACCTGATCCTGATACTGTAATTATCTAATGTTCTGTTTTTTTAATAGTCTAATAATTAAGGTTAATCTGTTTACTTTACAAGTGATGGATCTTCTAGATTCAGGTCTGGCTTTGCCAAACCATATGTGGTCGTCTCACCCTCCACCCTGAAGTTTAGTGATCCTTGTGTTTACTTCAATCTATTTAGTCAGCCTCACATATTTCACTGTTGTAAAACTTTACATTTTCCTATAGAATATTTTATAAAGAGCTTAGAATTTAAAATCATTATTATAAATTAATCATTTAGTATAATGATGAAAGTACTAATATACCATTAGTGTCTTGTAAGGATTTATTGCCTTATGTAAGGAGCCTTTTCTATCCTCTTAGCATAACTCAGTTTATTCCATGGCTAGAATATGGCACATTTAGAGCCCATACTTGCCAGTTTAAAAATATTAATTAATTAACAATGTATTTTATTAGTTATTTGCTATTATTTAATAATTATGTTTATTGTATTAACTCATTTTTCTCCCTTCTTTATTTTTTTGGATTAATTTAACTTTATTAAAATTCATTTTATTTTGAAGGCGATACGGACATTTTTTTGCAAGTTACAAGTTTTTATTAGATGCTCATTATGTGTTACCATAATAATTTATAAAATTAAATCGACTAGTTATTAAAAGTGACGTAATAAGAAAATTTTGTCTCAAATCAGATAATAAAACTGAGGTACACAAAATAAACTTTATTTTGCATATAATTGAGATAAATGCTATGTACATACATACTTATTTATGTAGCTTTGTTATTATCTTGTTGATTTATTTTTCATGCCTTTTAGACTAAATTTTCTTGTAATTGTTTCAAAACTTGAGACGTAAGGAAAAAAGCTTTTTTATTTGACTTTTTGATCTCTTATTATGATTGACATTTATGTGATATAATACATCCTACTGTTGATGTGTTAATATGTTATTAGGATCGCTTTAATTTTGTAGTGAAATTAATGCTTCAATTCAATTCAGATAGGATATATGACTATTATACCCAGATTTTTCCTCTAAAGTTTACTTCATACCTACTATCTTAAATGTTTCTTGAAATGGTTATATTATAATATGTCAAATTAAAAAAAAAAAATTATATGACTAATTTGTTTCCTTGAAACAGCTGTTCTCATTGTTATAATTTAAAAGGGTGTACTAATATTACTCTTAGAAAAAAAAAATTCTGGAAAACGTATAAGTATTGATAAAATTGTTTTACCTGCTAAAATTGACTAGATTTTTAAAATAAATTGAAATGTTCGATTTTTTTTTCTCATCTATTTGTACATTTTATAATTTTTTTCTTTATTCAATTTATCAAGAAGGCAGGGATGGGAGAACAAAGTTGAGAACCTCAAAAGGAAGAACCTCTCCAACTTCCAATCAATTTAAATACTAATTTTCAAATCTCTATCTCAATTAAAAGAGGCTTTAGAGATGTAAAAATATTTTAAAATTACACTAACATGTCTTTTTAATTTTATTCGTCATCAGTATCCCATATGCACTTTGCCTTGTACCTTCTTCATTGCTATTTCTCTTTCTGCCAACTGCCTCATGTTTGTGCGTTGCTGTCATTTTTTTTTTCTTTGTCTATTGGGTAATACTTGATTTTAGAAGATCTTAAAGTTGTAGTCTTATATTTCATGTTGAATCCTGAAGAATAGTAGAATAGTATATTATTGTTTTTATGTTTTTGGACGCTAGGCATGAACTGATTTATTAAATAAAGAATTCTTTTTAATATCATTTAAAAATTGTGTACTTATAGGAAAATTTCCAAATTCAGATTCTTAAATCAGATTTTAAAATTTTAGATTTATGAATCAAAATCCATTATTCATAAATCTTAAATAATAAATCTGACCGCAAAGTCTGGTGAGTGTGAAATTGATACTGCAATTCTCTTCCTAATATTTTTACATTTATTTGTTTCTTGTGAGATTTCTTGTAACGGATCATCTATCTTAATTTACCATGCTTTTTAGATTATAATAGCTGTCATCTCTGCTACTTACCAACTATTATTTAAATTAATAATTATAATTTTGTAGAATTAAAATTTCAACAGCAAATAAATTTTTCAGACTGTTGATATCGGAACCCCTGAACGAGCAGAGTTTGAGAATTTATCTGATTGTGTTGAGGTTGAAGAAGATGAATGGTCGGACAGAAATTTCTTGCCTTCAGCCACGGATACTGAAGCATCCCAAGATAGGCAAGTTTATTTATATTTTAATTTTTTATGAAAATTATGAAAAAAAATTTAGTGTTACTGGGAGCATTCGAAAAGTGAATGAGAAGCTATTTTAACAAACATACCAAAGGAGTCTATAGGGTTAGAATGAAGAAGTGAGGGTGGGGTCTGATCTAGTTTATTGGAATTAGGATTGTCTGGGCTTGGTATAATTGACCACCATGCATCTCTTTGAGAACTACCAACATTTCTGTAATCTTATCTTTTTGGTGAAACATTTCCTCAAGATCTTGTGGTAGTTCGATCTTATTTAAACATGAAAAAACAAAACAATTATTACATCAAAATTCTTTTAAAATCCATAAATAATTACACAAAGTGCACAATATTCTAATTTTATATAGATAAAATTCGTCAAAGTATCTATTTATTTAACTTTAAAATTTTTAAATCATGACTTTTTGCAAGAAACCAACTTATTATTTATATTTTATAACAGGAGTATTGTTCAACATAACGATTATATGTAATTTTTAACTTTACTTTCAGTTCAAGTTCTAGCTCAAGTGAAGGGTATGCTGAAGCTGAAGATGGTGGTCTTGATCCTGAAGAAACATTACGACTAGCTCAAGACTGGACTAGACGTTATGCCTCTTCTCATTATTCCAACTCTGAAGGTTAGTCAAAATGAAACATGGGTTGAAAATAACAATCATTTTATAAAATAGCTGGTCAGTCATTCTTTATAATAGGAATGATAATGTTATGCACGATTCTCAACGTTACTTAATAAATATATGGATGTAGGTTTTTTTCATTTATGAGTGGGAGGGTTTATCCCAAGAATGTTTTAATAATTGGGAATAAATTTAAAACATTTGATTCTTTATTCCACTTTGCTTCAGTTACACTGCACAAACCTAATTAAACAAAATTACAGTTCCCATATTAAATACCTTTACTTTTTTAAGATTATTAATTGATTAAAAATAACCTTGTAAATATAATTAATAAATGTTTTTTTTTCGTTACCTCTATTTAAAAGAATATTTGACTGTAATGTTTTCTTAATCAATCTTCTTTTAGTGTATTGCTGATTATATAGATATGACCATTCTAAGCTTTTTAATATTTGTTGTTTAGTTGGATAGTAGTTTTTTGTTGCAATCCCTAATAAATAATTATAAATCAGCATAACTATGTTATTATTTAAAATTCCATAAATAAAAGGTTTTGGTGTTCCTTCTTACCTTGATAAATGGTGTTGTGTGTGTTTCCAATGACTAGCTTCATTAGTCTTATGAAGGTAGTTACTATTTAACAACAAACAATTTATATTGGGCTTATCAATCTAATTTTTTGATTAAATAAATAAAATCAAGTGTTTGTACATCTGCCATATTGTCTCAGGAATGTGGATAACAGTTTTTCACAACCCAGTGATTTTTTTGGCTCTGTACAACGTGATGGCCAGAGCAGTTTGGGGCACGGAGTCTCAGAGTTTTCCATTCTAAACGTTGTGGGTTTGATTCCCTCCTGGATTGGTTAGTTTTTATTTCTCAGCAGCATTGAAAAACAATTCTTGGCACTCACTCTATTTTTTTTTCTTTTCTTTCCTACCTTGCCTTTTGGCTTTCCTCTAGGCCAAGGGAGAGATAGAATCAATTTAACAAAAGTAGATGATGAAATTTACATTAATTGCATTGTCTGCTATTTCAGATGAAACGACTGATTCTGATACTGAAGAGGAGGCCAAAAAGGACACAAGTCCTCGTCAGCACGTTTCTGACTCCGGATCTGAAACAGAGGTGAAAAGCTCTTGTTGCTGTTTATAAATTGTTCAAGAAAGCAGATATCTAACATTAAGCAGGTGGTCAGGTCTTTCCATAGGTTAAATTCAAACACTTTTATATCGACTTGAGGTATTTATATTGAATGTAGCATCAATCAAAACAATGTGATTTTTTTAAACTAACTTGTAACATTACACAGGTACTTTTTTCCTTTAAAAAATGCTATTATTAACACTGTGTAAAACCATACCACTTGCTAACAAAGTATATTATTTTTTAACATTTAATTTTTTTTTTGCTGTTAATTTTGTTGGCTTAGATAATATTTACTTTTTTGAGTGAACAAAAAATCAGTTATTTTACACCATTGTGAAACAAAAAGAGTAATTCATTTTCGCTGATCTCCTCCCCCTCCCCCTATTTAATAATTTCCATTTTGATGACTCATTTATATCTCTAGCAATTTACAGAATGAAGAATAACATATTTCCTCATATGAAATAATTATGAATAGACTTGTTCGATAATCACTGCTTCCATGTTATGAACCTTCATTTTCATCAGAATATGATTTTTTTATTATGTCATTCAGCAAAAATTAGAAGTTAAAAAGTATTTTTTTTTTTTTAGTAGTCAAAAGTGTGCATTTCAATTATTCTATTGGTTATTCAAGTCATTAAATATTTTATTATTAATAATTTTGTTTTACAATGGTGATCAAATATTTTAATTTTTTTCTTTTAAATATTTTTATAAGAGGCGTGAGAGTGATATATGTTTTGATAAAATTTTTATTTGCTTATTAAACCTTTTGTATTTTAGCATTGCATTAAAATTAGCCATCCAAGTCTACTCTACTGCATGGTTGTCTCTGTTTACTTTGCCATTATGAATTTTATATCAGCCAAAGCAAAAAAAAAGCTATGTTGATGTTCTAAAATTAACTTATCATAATTCAAGGCTATAGAATTTCCATTGCATCATTGTGGAAAAGTATTTGTCTACATCTTAGTAGTTGTTATTATCAATTTTAACTTTGAAGCAAGCATGAAAGATCCTCAACAGAAATCGCTGATACTAGGAGAAGTATCAGACTGTTTTGAAGTTAGGCAAGTTAAAAGAAAGGAGATAGTCTCTTCCTCGTGCTGTTCATCATAGTCTAAGACATCATCAGGAAGTGAAAACAAATATGTCCTTTTGCATGGACACAGACCTTAATTCCAACTCTCTTAATTAATCCTATGAGAATGTTAAATGTTATTTTATTCCTACTATTTATGTCAATGTTTACTTAGACTATAATCCTTTAATTATTTGTGACTTGAGTTGGCTTTATGGGGTTATTTACAGTTTTAATAGGCAAGTACAATGAAAGAAGATAAAATCATTATTCAAAGTATTTTGAGTCTAAGCACAAAGTCAGCTGCTAAATAAATTTGTCACATAGAAGGAGAGTCAGTTATCTGTTGAAATACTGCTGCACTTTGGTTCAGGCAATTCAGCAATGGAAATATGAACCTTGCAGATGAATCCAGATCAGGTCACCCATCAGTCATTGATAATGATGTTCTTCTTGAATGCATGAACCAATTGAATATGGAATTTAAGACCAAGGTCCAATCCATATGACTTGAAAGAAGCCCTAGTGCAGCAGCGAGTTGGTATTTGCAAAGTTTTGTCTCAAAATTTGAAAGATGTCAGTTTCTGGAAAAAAAAAATTCTTACAAGTGATGAAAAGTGGATATTTAAAAAAAAAAAATAGCAAAAATGACCAGTGGGTAAAGCTGCACTACCAGAAGTTTGCCAAGATCAGTTTGAGAAAAAAGTGATGCTTTGTATTTAGTAGAGCTTCGGAGGCCTTTTGCATTTTGAGCTTATTTATTCGGTAGTGATGGTTGGGTAGTGAACTCAAACTTCTATTGTGTTCAGCTAGACCGAATTTATGCAGTTTTGAGTGCAAAGTATTCCACCTTGGTCAATAGGAACCAAGCCATTTTGCAACATGACAATGCCCTTGCGCATCATTCTCGTTTGGCCGAGGAAAAATTATCGCAACTGCAAGCAGTAAATGTTTTACCTCATCCTGCGTATGCATAGCCTAGATTTCGCACCATCAGACTAAGGTTTGTTTAGATCATTGACTCATTTTTTAAAGAGGTCAGATCTTTGATAATTATGGAGAAATGGAAATTGTATGTGAAGAAGTCTTTGTCTCAAAACCAATGAAGTGGTACTGGCATCAAGTCCAATTACTGGCAGAAAAATAGGTGAAACAATGGACTTTAGTTTGAATAGTAATATGCAATAATGATTAAAATATGTAATCTGAAATAAAGCTATAATTATGCATGAGGACTTGTGTAAAAACCTGGTATTACAAGGGGATGCAACTAAACTGTAAATCTGTGCACAAGTCAATGAAGATTCGGCAAGTTATATGATAGACATTTGAATAACCCATCAGATCTACTAAATCTGCATAGTAGGAGTGGGCAATTGTTCATAGTATTACTGATGTATCAATAATTCTCTAGGCTATGGATAGTCAACAGATTTTGTTGTTTGGTTATTTTTTATTTTCTCTGAGATTTATTCATATATATTCCTAATTCATATAACAACCCTGGAAAGAAAAACATACAAAATTTAGCAATGGACAATTATTATTTAAATGAATGTGCATTACTTAAAAATGGCTCTATAGAGCTTAAATGTCGTGAAAAATAAAATAATATTAATAAAAGGATTTGTTTTTATTTAAATAATATGGCACCAAATGTATAAAATCTAATTAGAGAACATTTTTTGTAAAAAAAAAAAAAATCCTTGAATTTTCGAACTCTTTTTTTATTATTTCATAGTATTACTATCTATAAAAATCATAGTTACTTACATCATCTTCTATTTTATATTTCATAGTGTTGATTATGTTTTGTAAATAGTTAATGAAAATTGGTAATTCGAAAGTTTTGTGTCTCATAAAATCCATCTTAGAATTTAGATCTGAATCCCATTAAATGTTTAGGAAAAGTAATTGTTAATCCTCCTTTGACGTTATGGGTACTATCTTTATTAATCTGGACGATAGTTAATTACCTAACCCTTCAGTATCATTAAAAAAAAATATAGTAAGTTGGTAGTTTAAATACTCTCGATCTCACAATAACCTGAATAAATGATCTTTTGTGAGATAAACAAGTGTGAATAGAATCATCTCCTGTCATTAATAAGAAAATCATTTAATTTCAAGATGTTGATATAGAATGCTACATTGAAACCTGTTATATGGTTTCAAGACTTGATCTCTAACAGATAGGCAATCTAGATCTATATTTATAACTGTGCTATTTTTTTTTTTTTTTTTCTATTCCACCTCTTCTATTCGCAGTTAAATTCTGTTAACTACTACTAGTTCAATGAGATGGAATAAAAGATCAATAAATTTGTAAATTGTGAAAAAATTCTGTTTCATTTTAAATATTCATATTAATGAACATTTATTCTGTTTTTTGTCATTGTGTTGTGTTTTTCATTAAAATTTAGGCTTCAGCATTTTCATTTATTCCTTCATCATTTTATTGTATTATAATAAATCAGCTCTTAAATTTTAATGGATTTTCTTATTTAGGTGCCTTCAGAAGATGAATATAGCAGTAGTAGTTCCGAAGATGAAAATTCAGCAACAGAAATATCTACAGACTCTGAATTTGAACATGATGGTACAACCCATACTATTCCTGATATTGTGATTAGTGAAACTGTTCAGGTGAATATAAATATTGATGTAACCTGGTATGTTTATAATAGAAAAAAGTTTTACTATATGCCCTCACACACAATTTGATATTTGTTTTATATTTAATTTTCTTTTTTTAAACATTAATCAGTTATTGATTTAAACATTGTTTTTTCCTAGGTTCGCAAAGGGTTGATTGAAGCACCTAGACAAGTGCAGCTCATTTCAAGGCAGGTTAATGGAAAAATTACACCTCATAGTGGTGATTTAAAGCTGGAACTGAAAAGAATTGATGAACCCAAACCAACAACTCCCAACAATAACATTAACAACAATGACAGACCTAGACCTTTTATTAATCCAAATAGAGGTGATTATCTTCTCAACAGAACTCAATCCACTGAAGGCATAGCATCTAAGATTTCTCTCGAGTTGAAAAAGAAATATCTTCTTGGACCTTCTGGTATGCCTGGAAACATAAGAAAGTCGGGATCAGCTATAACTTTAGATACAAAATTTAAATCTTTAATTGATCAAATATCTGAACAGCAGAAATTGTTGAATCCAGCTCCAGTCCCAAGTCCTACAATGCAGGCTTTTCTTCAAGGAGCTGATAAATTAAAAACTTCTCCTGTCTTGTTAGAAAAGAAAATTTTACCATTAAAAGATTTCAAGCATATATGTAGTCTTGGTAGTAAAGAAGATAAAAAGGATGGAGAGAAAGAAATTAAAGAAGAAAAGAAAGAAGAAGAAGAGGTGAGGTCAAGAAGCCCAGTTCATGAAACTAGTATTGTAGTGCCAGAATTCCCAAGAACTGAGCAAAAAGAGATTGAAAGTGATTCATTATCATCAGATATGAGTTCTTCCGAGGAAGAAGATTCAGCAGAAAGTGAAGGTGAAGGAAATCCTGTGTCACCTCCAAAACTGGAAATTCACAATTCTCGTGGAGAATTGATGGAAGAAGAAGTACAGCTTGATTCACTTAATATTCCTGATGTCTGCCAGGCGGCAGAACCAAAACGACAAGAGCTTAGAGATAAACTCGATCTTGTACCTTCTACTGAAACTGGATTTGCGAAAGTGATAACTGTGCCTTCAAATGAAACTAATGGTCAGGTTTTAAAACAAGTGTCTACTCCAGCAGAATTATTTGTTACAAAGGAGGAAGTACATAGTGACGCAAGTAGTCCTCCATCACCTTCTCTGAAAGATGATATTACTTTAGGGTTGACAGAAACAGAGTTGTCTGATTGGGCTAGAGATGAGGATGGAGTTGTTTCAGAGACATTTGATGATCTCGAATATAATATTAACCCTCAAACTATTTCATATAAAAAGCATCTGACACCAAGAAGCAGGAGAAATGCCAGGGGTACAGCTCCGAAAATTGCAAGAACCGAAGAATTTGATGATGAGTTTACACATGTATGTGGTAAAGACAAGCCTACCAACCTCCATAATGTTGAAAATTTAGAATTTATGGATACTGCTGATGAAAGTAGTGATGAAGATTCAGGAGCTGTTAATAAGATATTAAATCGTGGTTACATTCAATTTATAAATTCAGAAGATGATGATTTACCAACTCCAATTGTTGAAGCTGTTAATTACTGTTTAGAAACCAAGGCTGAAAGTAAAGAAGATCTCGATTCTAGAATAGGAGAATCTACAGACACAACAACGACTTCTGAGCCAACTACAATTAAAGATAGCCCTATTGAACCACCTGCTCATGTAGTAGAAAGTGATAGTCAAGACAAAATTAATCAGGAATATGAAATATATGTTCAGAAAATGCAGGGTAAAATTTCTCCTTTTGGAAATGTCAGGAATTCTATTGATGTTAGAAAATCTAGAAAAATAAACAAGAGGTCTCCTCCTGATAGTTTAGAATCTGTAGGTGCTGTTGAGGCTCCAGCAATTACAACGATTGAAGAAGTTATTCCCAAACAGATCTCTATTCCAGTTAAGAAAGATGATGTTAAAGAAGAGCCCCCTCCAACACCTCAGCCTCAGTCATTAACACCTAAGTTGGGTTTGAATTCTCCTACAACTCATAGAAAGCTGGAACAGTTAAATCAAGAAAGAGTTAAACAAAAAGATCTTATTCATGAAATGGTCATGAATCGATTGATAGCACAAGGAAAATCACCAACAGAGAGGAAACAGAGAAGGTCTATTCGAACTGTTCTAAGGTCTAGTGACACGCCTCCAGCTCCAGTTCCAAAAGAAAGACCAAAATCTGAAATGTTTGTCACACCAGCTGCTCCACCACCTATTAGAGAGCGAGCTTTTACTGTTACCACTGCCAGGCGCTTAGCAGCTAAAACCAACGTCATTGCTTCATCATTGCCTGATATCCATAAGGCTTGTAGTACTCCAGGTCTACCTAGTGAACTCACGGTACCAAATCTCAGAGGAATGAGGGAACAAGCTAGGGCAAAATTTAAAATGATGAGTGATGAAGAACTTGGTCTCAGCCCGGAAGATAAAATTAAAAAGTTTAAACTTAAAATCCAAAAACATCTTCATGAAGCTAAACTTCCTTCTCCAACTCATGTTAGTACTTTTTATATTCTTATTTTTTCAATTTTCTTAAGGTCAAATTAAACTGTAGTTTGTGTCTTAAGTAATCCTTAGTGGTTTAAATTGCATGATTCATCATTAATTAAATTTGAAATGTGTTATGGATGGATTGCAAAAAAATCTAATTTTAAATATAGATTTAAGGTTCCTTATGGCAATTAATAAATAAATGAGAATAATTCTCTTATTTTTTTAAGGAGGATAGAGGGTCAGTGCTGAAAGTCTATTTGTTAAAGAGTAATTTTAAATTACTTCATATTTGTTATATATAGATATATAATTCTTTTATGATAGAACTATTCTGAGGGGAATCATTCTTAGATTTCCCTAATATAGCTTCCTCAGTAGTAAGTTGGAGAAGCTTTGTGGTGAAGATTAAAAATCCTTTCATTCTCAAAATCGAAAATTTTCACCTATGTTCTAAGTTTTAGATATAAAGGAACATATTTAGTTTCGCTTCTACCAGCCTATATTCATATCTATGTGAAGAGCACCTATTACTGTTAACCCGATTTTCATGAAGGTTTCATAGATTATATGGAACAGCGCCTTGATGGTCCCCATATCAATTCCATCCACTACTTTCGCATATGCATGTCTAAATGTATTTTTGTAGACATCCCAATATTTCAAAAACGCCAACATTCGATTTGGCAACTTTTAAATATTGGCGAGTGTATTTTCCTTGATACACCTCTAAAGCCAAACGTTCGATTTAATCAAAAGTTGGAAGGAAGCTGGAGATTAATGTAAAAATCAAAGAGCATTCCAAGATTAAAACATTTTATCGAATTCCATCCACTGTTTTCAAAAAATACTTTTGCTTACTAATTTGTAACCATGATGTCTATATTTCAAAAACTACTCGTTTGATTTGGTCGAAATCTGGAGGAAATCCGGAGATTGTGTATAAATAGTCTAGTAAAAATTTCATAAAATTCCATTTAATATGTAAAATTAATGTTTCTAATTGTTAAGACTATAATAGCTGTGAAATGTGGTAGTAGTAAGCGGTGAACTTCTGGCAAGGGAGGTTATATTTATAATTTAGGCATATTCCATTCTAAAATTTAATTTAAACTAAATTCTCATGTTGAATTGATATGATGGGCATCATACTTACTGCTATTAGTTTGATTTGGTGATATTTTCAGAGACTGTGAGGGTTATTACCTAGGCTGTTCAATATTGATTTTATCAACTTCTATTGCTTAGAAGTGCTTTTTCCTCCAACAAAACTATACTTAAAAAATGTACTGATCCTACATAACCGATTGTTTATGATTTGTCAATGATAAGGAAAAAAAAAATTTTTTTATTTAAGCTTATATCACTGTCATTATTTTACTTTAAAAAAATGAATTTATATTATCATTGTTATCTTATGGTTGTGACCCTTCAGTCCATAATATTAATAAAAAAAATTCAAACATTATTTTATTAAATGTGACTTATATTTATTTTTTATTTTTTAGTGTGAAAAAACTGAAATAAATAAAAAGAGTAAAGAAGAAAGGAAAAGAAGTATTATTCAAGCTGTCTCTGATTTTTTTCTTAAAAAATCACCTACTCCGCCTAAAACTCCATCTAGTCATTCACCCACCAAATCTATACCTTCTGTTTCTTCGAAGAAAGTAAGTTGCTTCAAGTGATTTTCAAAATTATTAAGGAACTATGTATTTATAAAATGAAATAAATAAAAGTTTATGACTAATTATTTAGATATGCTTAATGAAGTTATTAAAATTTATAATACAGCTTTAACTGTCCTTTTTATCCTTGTGTTGTGAAAAGTTGTTTATGTAATGTTCAGTTTAATAGTCTATATAACTGGCCAAATTGTCAGTTAAGCTCTTGTCTTTTGAGTCAGGCATGTGGGTTTCAAACTAATCTTTTGTCATGAAGGATGCTAAGGTACCGGACTGTCTGAATAGATTCCTTTTTAATGTTCATGTCAAGAAAGTTATCCTTGCTGATAAAATTTACAATACATTTCTGAGAGCTTATTTTCAACTTATGTTAAAACTATGTGTATTTTAAAACACCATTGGAAATAAGTGTTTTTCACAACTATTCAGAAAGTATGAAAGAGATCTGAACCAAAGTTTGTAACAATTTGAGATGTGGTTAATTAACAACTTCAAATGTTAAGAGTTTCATCAAATGGAGTTGATTTTACTTTTAAGCATGTAAAAAACTGTTCAGTTATACTAGCGTATTTAGTGATTGTTTTCTGAGCTGTTTTCATCTTGGTCAATAATGAAAACAATTGCTCCTAAAAGTAAAAATAATATTTTAAAAATGAAAAAGTGGATAGGTTGATTTCTTCAGGAATTTAACAAAGTATCTTGGTAAACTGTTTTGTGAAATGATCTTAATGGCTTTTTCCTCCCCTCCCTCACCTTTTAGGCTATACACGGTTATTCCGGGCTACAGGAGAGGACAGTGGAATTATCCCAGAGTTAAAAGTTCCTCTAACTCTAGAATTAGAACTCGTAATCTTCGGTTTATTATCTGGTTGCCGGGCAACCTAAATTTTACACACACGTTAGCCTGCTCGGCCACTCCGCCCCCTTATGCTCTTAATGACTTGTCAACGACACAATATGAGTCCAGTGACAGGTGAGATGTTCCAAACTTTAAAAAGCTTTGACTCTCCAGATCCCTTCCCTCTCTCGCTCCCTCTTATGTTCTAAGCACCATTTTCTTTAGAGGCATAAGTACTTGTTAAAGGAAAAGTGGTCATTAAAAATATTTTTTTATGAAATGCAGCTTTTTTTTATCTACTAATAATTCCACTGATCAATTCCTGGATGAGAAAGAATGCACTTGAGGATGATGATGTTTTTTTAAATCAAAAGTCCTGATGTAAAATGCAAAATAGTTTACTACGTCTATTTTATGCTGGAATAATTACATAAAATCTTATACATTTTTTTTTTATTCTCCCAGTTATTTCCAAAACTATTGACCATATGGGAAAAAAAATGAGTAGGACTCTTTTTATTGATAATTGGCTATAGTTTAAGTCTGTTAATTTAACTAAACTAAAAAAACATAGACGTGAAAGTGATGATTGAAAAAAATTTCATCCATCCCTTCTATATCTTGTTTAATTTTAAAGTGTACTTTATCTGTAACATTATTTACATAATTTATAATTAAAACATAATAATATAAATTTATTTGTAGTTGTAATTATACAAGTTAAGCAAAAAGCCCTGATGATTCTTAATTTTTTTAAACATTTCTCCAACTCACATCTCTAAAACTATAGCCAATAAGAAAAAAATAATAGGAACTTTTTTAAGGAGAACTGGCTCTAGTTTAATTTTTTATAGAAGTTGTTTTTGGGTAAACTGAATATTTACCTTGATATATATGAATAAATGTAAAAAATTACCCAACCCCTTTCTTTTTCCCTTTGGTGTAAGCATATACCATTTTTTTCTGTACAATCTATTCTAGATTAGCAACATTGACTTTTTGTTACAAAAAAAAAAAAAAAAACAACCTTCTCTTAAGTTGACTCCAACATGCTTATACATTTATCCTTGCCACTTATCTAGGGATAAACCATGGAACTGATAATATCCCAATCCTAAAACATCATTTCACAGTTCAATTTTCAGGAGTCAGTTCAGTTATTATTCCAGAGGAGTTTGAAAATGAGTGATTAATTTATATTTCATTTATAAAGTTAGGATCATTAAAAAAATAAAATAAACCAAAACATTTCTTAGAAGTGGTTTGAAGCTATCTCAGCTCCCTTCTCTGGCTACTGGCCTGCTCCCTGAATTTCATTTGTTGTGGCTGCAAATAATATCAACAGAAAATTTTATTCTTATAAGACTAAATGGGAAATCATCGAAAAGCCGAACTGCCTGTCCAAAAATTAGCGTGTTCAAACAAACTTGGTTTACCTATAATTGTGCAGATGTGGGCCAAACTACAGACTTATTTTTCTTTCTCTGGCTCTACTACTTTGTTACACATTAGGATATTAACCAGATGTGTAAATATTAAATAAGAATTTTTGTGTATTAATAAGTATTTATTGCATACAAATTTTAATATTTTATTCGAAATATTGTCCATCTCTAACTTTACCTTTTTCCTATTTTTCTGGCTATTTTTAAAACCATGCCAGAAAAAAGGTTGCATTTTTTTTTTGGCAAATCAGTCATCAAACCATTTTGGAACATTTTCACAAGAAGTGAAGCATCGCTGAATGATTGCTAGCCCAGGATGGAGCCAAGACTGGTTTGGAAGCCTCGTGCTCTACTATTTCTGAACTAAACACCTCAATTGTTTCCTTCCCTGGCTTTGCTATGCACTAATTTCAAGGACTACTAGTACAAATTAAAACTCTATTGTATCATGCTACGACCCCCAGGAACAGAACTTTTTTATATGTTGGGATGAGAATAAAAATCTTATCAGCAAATAGGGTTCGACTTAAGAAAAGGTTGTTCTTCCTCTGGGCGTTCTTCATATTTTCATTAAAAAATAATTGGCTTATTTAGCAATACCTGGAGAAATCATATTTTAAATTACAAATGGCTGCTATACTTATTCACTATTTGTTATAAAAATTTGTCAAAATATAACATAATTTTATTTTATAAACATGAAATATTTAATAACTGTTCATGGTTCACTATTCTAGTGCTCTTGCAATAGATAAAACTTACTGTTTCACTCAGTGTGAAAATTCAAAAGATCTTGTGCATATAATCCTTTTCAACTTACCAATAGTCTAGAAGTTTTATTCTCAGGTAAGATTAAGATTTAGATCATTAGCTGGTCATTATTTTCAAAGAATATTAATCACAGTGGTTACCTACATTTTTAATTTTCCATTCCTCTTCAATGAATTATACTATATCTTTAAAAACATTAATTAAGTTTTACTTTTTTTAGAAAAGTATGGAAACTAACCATACAAAATTTACCTTTTACAAGTTTTCCTGAATCTAATAAAGTTTTTTTTACAAAAAACTGTCTCATTTTTTCTTATTTACACACATCATTTTTATAAGTACGTAGTTGGTATCACCTTTAATCCGATCAATATTTTTTGTCTATATTTATCGTAACAAGTTCTATCTACATTAAGTTTAAAGATGGTACTTACAGATTGTTCTAAAGGAACCTCATCCCAGAGTAATAAAATTATTTTAATTTTCTTTTAATAAATTGTCTTAAAACTTCAAAACAATTTTTTCTTATACCTAGAGTATTTAATTTAAAAGAAAAAAGTACCTTTTAAGATCCCATCTGTGTTCACTCGTCTGTATTTCTCTAAATTATAAGTTTCGTTGAGTGAATTATAATAATCAGTATTATATTATATATAATATGATATGATAAGTGCATGTAAATCACTCAATTTTTTCGGACTTAACAGAAATAATAATTAATTAAATGTGATTTAATAACTGAACACTGAAAACGTTGATGTTTTGTGCATACAAATTTTATCATCTTCCAAACTATTTAATTATTACTTTAATATTCTATATAGTTTAATGGTAACTGTATTGTTATTCAAAGCTATTTTTTATATTTTAGGATAAAGATGCTCCTCCTATTCCGCCACCTCCTGTGTCTTATAATCCTAGTCAAGGTAAATAAAAAAACAATTGAGGTTTTATAAATATGGTATTGTAGAAATAAATTCACACTTGATAATGCAATGTTAAATTATATAATTATAGCAATTTTTATTCATATTCACTGTAGTTGCATTAGTTACTAGTTAATCTCCACTACATATACATATGCATACATAATCAGTCAAAATGCTACTGCTTCATGCCAATCAATCTTATAAAATGGCTAACTGCTAATGAGAGATTCTCTTAATTTTTTTTTTTGCTTTATTTATTATGCTTCTCACAGCTTTGAAGTACAAATTACAATGTACATAAATTGAATTTTATTGTTTATTGAAATAAGAAAAAAAATAATGTGCAATTTTTTCATACTCAATCTATTGCTGAATGTTAATTATGCTAGTGGGTGTTAGTGTGATGAGCCAGTGGTATATGGTGTTAGTTGTAGATGATAGCCAATCGGAAGAGGAGACACAATCTTGCACCTTTGCGGGAATGGATTCACTTCAAAGAAAGAGTAAACAGAACAGGAGACAAGTTAGACAGGCTCAAAGTAAAAGGTAAAAGACTTTGTTTAATTTATTTGATCTTAATACTTTTAAACTTAACTTAAAAAAAAATTGTAAATTCTTGGTTTGGTTTCTTTTTTTTTTTTTTTTTTCTATAATTATTGATATAGCGTATGACACAACGTAAGCTAAATGTACTCAATGACTGTATTCATTACATAAAAATTTAAAAAAATTATCATTTGATTTCTCTTCCTTGCTTTATGAAGTGCACTGAATTATATAATTTACCGTGAATGATTTGGTTATGTGGTTTTGTTCTATTCATGACAATTTATTTACTTGGTTTATTTTATTCTCGTGCCAATCATTCTTACTTTTAGCCATTGTGATATAGATCTTAAAAATGTCCTCATCTCTCAATTTTTAACTTACCATCTGGTGTTTCACTCTGTTTTACTGTTTTGAAGTTTTGTTTCTTCTCAAGGTGATAGTTTCTAGATCGGGCTGATGAAGACCTATAAAAAACTGAACATAGTTTGATCAACAAATAAAATATTATTTGAAAAATTAATGATTAAAATATTCTATTTTTTAATTTTATTATTATTTATTATCTATATGATCAAACCTCTTATCACTGTTTATAATTAATCACTAAATCATATAAACAACTGCATTAAAAATATGATGTGAATTGTGTAATTATCTGATTCCTTATTATCATCGTCATCTTTACCTGTTCCTATTTATACCGTATGCTTATGTGAGGTTCCTACAGTTGTTTCTATACATCCCTATCCTACTGTAGTTTTCTTTTTATCTTTCCAGGTTAGGTTTCTCTTAAGGAAGGCCTACCTAATGTTCTGCTCCCATGTTATTTTGCCCCTACCTCTAGGACATGTCCTTTCTACCAGGGTCTCATAAGCCTCTGTGGCCAGATGTTGGTTTATTATTCTAAGGAGATGACCCAATTAATTTCTCTATTACAGTTTGTAATAGATCGATATAACAATAACACTGCGACTGGACCTTATTGCAATGTTCCTAATCCTCTCCTATATGGTCCTGCTTCCTACCTTCTACAGGTACCACATTTCCATTACCTGGATATGTCTTTTGTCTGTATTATTGCTAGTTAAAATATTTTACTCATTTAATGTATTAGTGTTATTTAATATGTTTCATCGATCCTTTTTTTTATATTTATATTTTTACTTATCAAATATATCTTTAAAAGTTGAGCTATTAGTTCGAGTAAAGTTATATTGGAGAAACATATTTCATTTGTTTTACTTCTATAGGCTTCGTATGGCACAAGAGGTTCAGAGAGAGCTTGAAGAGTTGGAAGTAAAACAAAAGGAGCTGGAGGCTAAGGGGGTTGCGGTTGAAAAGGCTCTAAGGGGTGAAGAAACAGGTAAATAGTTAACATTCTGTCTCATTAAATAGCTGTTTATGAAATAGTTGTTTCAATTTTTTTTGTAACTATAGAGAAAATTTAGAAGAACCCAGAATAGTTATTTTTGGAGAAATGAATAGACTTATTATCTTACTATATCTGTTAGACAAAACAATATTTCTAAACAAACAGGGATAGTCTGTAGTTATTAGTAATCTGTATTTTTAAAAATATATATGAACATTTTTAATTTTGTAAGTATTATTACTTGAGATTTAGTTTGTGATTTGGCTACAAAATAAAGTCTATATGTCCTGGCTGGATTCTGCTATATTTTGGATGATTAAGAAAACATTATAATTATAGCCAATGACTTATTTATTTATTTGCAAAGCACACTATTATGGTATCTTCTCTTTCTTGCATCAATCGTAAAGAACAATTGAAGAGGGGTTGTTAAACCAATACTATCATCATTGATATTTGTTATTATCATTATTATTAAATGGCACTACATCCCAATTATTTGAGACTTGGCCTGCTCCAGCATGGATCTCCAGTTCTCCCGCTTAGTTGCTCCAGCCTTCCAATTTCTGACACCAAGTAGTCTACATGCATCAGCAGCCACACAGTCTTGCCAGCACAAACATGGTCTTCCCACTCGTCTGTTTCCAAACACAGGCTCATTCATAGCTCTCTGTGGGGGTACATTCATATCCATCCGCGCGACATGTCCCGCCCAGCGTAGTCTTGCCAGTACGATGAATTTGCTCATATCCAAGTCATTAAATAATGTCTTTATTTCCAAATTCGTTCTCCTCCTCCAATTCTGTGGTGTTTCCTGGACCCCTCCAAATATGCGTCGTATAATCCTCCTTTCAAATTTGAGTAGGGATTTCTCAACTGCTTTAGTTAAGGTCCAACTCTCACAGCCATATGTGAGCACTGGTCTAATAAGAGTCTTATATATTCTTATTTTGGCCTGTCATGACAACATTCTATTGCGAAGATGTCTCTGGAGGGAGAAATAGCACCGATTAGCCACTGCGATTCTCCTGTCTATCTCACAATCAATGTTATTTCGTGCATTTATCAATGAACCAAGATATACAAATTCGTCAACATTCTCGATTCCACACTGTTCCAGCCATGCTTGGTTTTCCCTTGTTAGACGTGAGGATATGGTGGACATATATTTTGTTTTGGACACATTGATAATAAGACTGATTTTGGTTGCAGACTCTTCCAGACGTTATTATCATTAGTATTATTAATCATTTTAACATTAATGTTAATAAAATCACTGAATTAATACCTTTCTGGTAATAAGTAGAGAATAATCTTTTCCTTAAACATATATGTTAATGCTAACAAGAAGGGGATGAATTGTGTATTGTGTTCTGTTTTATTCATGTTCTCTGCATTTTTAGATTAAATCATTGTGTTTTTTTTTTTTTTACAAATTATCAAATGTTCATGTCAATGTATTCTTAATTCAAATTATTATTATTATAACAAAAATGCTGATTATACATAATATTTTTGTAATAGTCTTGGCATGACATAGTTGCATTTTTGTTTTGAAATCACATACTGTGATGAATGTTGAATGTTCTTATATTTTTTTGTAAATTAACACTTCTCTCTGTATATAGGTGTAAATGGAAGTGAAAGTGAGCTACTTGGTGAATGGCTTAGATTGATGAGAGAGAGGAGTGAAGCGCGGAGTAAAGAAAAACAGCTTGTAATAAGGGGCCAAGAAATAGAGCTGGAGCATAGGCATGCCAGGCTGCAAGCCCAGCTATCTGAACTTATGGCTGCTTCTCCTGGTTAGTATGAATCATCGAGATATTTTAAAAAATGTTTGGATAAATCAATTGCTCAAATACCTAGTTTTGCTTGAGATTGATGCAACAAATTTCAAATTAATGCATATTCAAAAAATGTAATCATTGATTTTTATAAAATATTGTTCCATTTTATATTATATAACTTTCAACTATTTAAATATGATTTTTTTATTTACCATCAACTCCGATGATTTTACGTATTTTCAAAGTTAACTATCTAAATTTGGTTGATTGTACATTGAACTTTTGAGGAAAAAAAAAATAGTTGACTGTATTTTTTCTTTCAAAGTATTATAGATATTTACCAAAATTTATGAGATGGTTGAACAAAGTTACCTCACAGATTTTGCCTATGTTTTCACGTTCAGATTCCCTCTGTGAACCATGTCATCACTAGCATGTTGGAATAACAATAAAAAATAAAAATTGAAAATATTTAATCTTTTAAAGTAAAAAACTTAGATGCTCATGGACTTGAATCACTAACTGTTTGATACTTGAATAATCAGCATAATTCAATAATAATGGATTGACCAAAAAAAACTTTTAATAAACACATTACTAAAATTTCATCGATGATGAAAAAGCCATAACTGTACTAACACACACATTTTCTGAAAATTTCATGAAAATTGGATTTTATTTGAGACAGACAATTTTGTTCCTTGATGTCTTAAACAACATGAATGAAAATTTTCTATTTTGAGAACTAACATTTTTTTAACTTGCTGTACGAATACAAATCTTTCTTACTTTTACTAATGAAAAAGCGAAATTTCAAATGATAATAATAGAAAATAAGAATATCTCTAAAGTAAAGAAATAGTCCTAAATGTTAATAATAATGGACGAATTATTAATTTTATAGCAATATCTTAGGTCTATATTAGAAATTCTATTATCAACCTCAAATTAAATATTCATCCACTCAGACATATTAATCAAATACTTAATAATTAAAAAAAAAATTGTAATATTTATAAAAATAATTTCAGAGTATGAATAGAGTGAGAGATTATCTATTTATGTAGGATAAGAATTGGATTTATTGAGTTTAGTTTCTAAATATTCAAGAAGACTAAAAAAATTTAACCTTCATAAGAATTTGAATAATTGAGATTGTTAAAGTTGATTCTACATACTTTTTTGAATTAGGTTACTGTATTGAATATAAATTATAGTTAATTGATTTATTGATACTGGTTGTAAATTTAAAAAATTAGGAATTATTGTAACATGGCAGTTAAAATTCCAGGTTTTATGATTTCTCAAAATACTGGACTTCTCTGACTTGCTCCGTGTTTATCAATTGATTGATTTCATACCAAAGATGGACATCTGTTATTTTCGGAAAGTGGAGAAAAAGTCAATTTTTGTTTTATAGGTTCAACTAAAAATGTTTATGATGATTTTATTTAAGAAAGTTCATGTTGAATCATAAAAAAAAAAATCATTAGAATTATTTTAAATTGAATCTAAGTTACAGAAAATTGGTTTTTCTCAACTTTTCAAAAAATTACGGATGTCCGTCTTTGATATGAGGCCACTCAATTATACATATCATTTTACTATATTTCATTTTTGGATTTAGGTTATAATTATTTTTATTTACCTATTATTTCAGAAGGAACAAAAACAAATGAAGAAGTAGCTCTGGAAGGTCGCATATTACGTGAAATGCTTGAAATAGTTGAAAGGAGAAACTCTCTGCAAGCGCAACTAGAGGCTGAAAAAGAAAGGTGCCAACCTTCCAATCCAATCACATACATCATCCTAGCAATTGCTATCTATTTCATTGTTCATTTCCTCGTCACACTTTATCAAATGAATTATTCTTTTCCTCATACCTAGAACAATCATTTATTCCCTCTTTTTCTTATAACATGTCAAAGTGAATTAATGTTTATGTAGACATTGGGGAAGTATTAACTTTGGGAATTCCTTCAAGCATGCTTGTAATGTGATGATTGCTTCTCTATTTTTGTTTAAATTGTTTCCAGATATTGCTTTGATTGTCTATTACAACTGTTTCTGGTTGTATCGTGCATGATCATCTGACCAATAAGGGAAATCAATCTCTTTTTTTATTGTTTATTGTTACAAACATTCCTGGTCACATTGATTGGTTACCTCGCTGTGGGTACCAGTTCATTGTGATGATTAGTTCAGTATTCTTTAGATTTATTGTTTCTTGTTTTTTCTTTTAATTAAATAATAATCATATAGCTATACACCATTAACTTGCAATATAAATTATAGCTATAAACATAAACCACCAAAAGTTTTTTACTGTTTTTCCATATAAAATTTTCCCCTATTTTCATTTTGAATTCTTGTATCCATATATATATATAAAGATATAGCATTTCCAAGTCAATTTCAACCTTTTCCAAATCAGTTTCTAATATATATTTAACCTAATTTTGATTAGTATCACTTCGTTTATTTCAGTAATCACAAAATGAACTTTTTTATAATATAGTTAAATTATTTTAAATCTATTCTACTAAAAAATATTAAAGAAATGTCATATGTTCAGTAGAATCTCTATTTTTGGAATAATGTTTGGAAGAGGAATTGGAAATATAAAAAAAATTAAACAGGAATTAAATTTTCTTTTTTTTAATGTCAACTTATTTTTTAAAAAAATGTAGAAGATATTTATTATAACCTTGATTTATAATTATAAAAACTTTATTAAATTTATATGTAATTCTCGTTGGTACATATATATGTATATACGTTTGATTAATTAGGTATTTATATATTTTTATTTATTGAAAATATTGGTTATTTATTTGTTTAATTTTGAGGTTTTTCTTGATTTTTGTCATTAATTTCTCCCTGAACATATTTTTTTTATAATTTGCATTATTCTGTTCTGAATGATTCTGCAGATCTGCCATTTCTAATGGTTGATTGGGTTATTCTTTTAACACTCTGCTAGGTGCTAAGGTACTTGTAACATCGCTGGGCAGTTTTTTAGGATCTCTTGATGCAATGTTAAATTACGGCATAAAAATACATAATTTTTGAAAATTTTTAGTTTTATTTATTGATTTATATCTTTATTATAACTTTATTTCAAGAATCAAAGAAGATTAAATTCTTTGTCTTATATCTAACGCATACGTTTAAGTTCGCATAAGTTCGGTTCAAGAATGGTCAAAATCGAAGATCAAAATTGAAAATTATTTCAAATTTTTGTAAGAAGGATTAATAAGGTCTTCATATTATTTTCTTACCATTTTTTATTAGCTTGACATTTATTAGGAAGTATTGATTTGAAGTTATAAATACAATCAAAAAATAAAAGTCTGAAAATTTTGTGTCGAGAGACCATGCAAAATTAGCATGTTCATAAAATAACAGAATAAAATAAAATCAAAACGATCTCCAGCTTTCCAATCTTTACTTCCAAAAATGGTACTGGCCCAAAAAGTATATCAAAAATCAAGATAGCTGTAAGGCGGGGTTTGGGACTAAGGATTGCCTATACACTAGAGATTGTTTTGAATAGGAAATTACCTAGTGGTCTAAAAGATTTTTGTATACAGATAACTTTCCTTTGAATTTTTTTTTTTTTTTTTTTTGTTCTCTCCTCCCTTGCCTTTGCTATTTAATGGGGTTTTACTGGGCCTGAGAAAAGGGTGGGAGTTTGATACTAGAGCTAAAAGTCTCCCTGGCACAGGAACGCGAACTCATAATTATTAACATTATTTTATTAAATAACCGGGCAACATGTGTTTTTCATACATATTAGTCCACTCGGTCATCCCATCACTCTTTCAATTAATATTGCAGTCTACCAGAAGGTTTAAAATTTAAAATAACCTCTATTACATAGTTAACCCTAGTCCAAAAGTAACTCCAGTTAACGGTATAAAAATTAAAAATGTTCAAAACCTGCATATATAAACATATGTAAGGACAGGTAATTTTATTATTCAGGAAAGAATAATTAAATTACACACACAATTTTTTTTCTGATCCTTTATAATTTTATTTTAAACTATTCCATATATAAAAATAGTAGAAATAATATACATATATATCCGTAAGCTTCACACAAATAGCACCAATAATTTCAACTTATTTGAACATATGTATGTTAAAAACATTGAGTATGTTAAAAATAATTTACATCTCTCCCTTTGTATTTACACACGGTGAAACTCGTATTTATCTTCATCATTTTTAATTATATGGACAAAGAGTTTTGATTCCATATTATAAAGCTTCTATGTGTGATATAATTTGTAAGTTAGTAAAAGTGATTTTATAAATCAGAAAAATATAATTAAATTACATGCAAATAGTGTTCATCAGGGAGTTGTATCTGCAACTGGTACAACCAGAATTGAGTCTCTGATACTACACCCTGATGAAGACCTACAAAGTGGGTCAAAACGTCAGCGTAACCACTAAAATACTATTATGATATGTAGTATTTAATTTGACCGCACCCTCGACCAACTCATATTATAATCATGGTCAACCATCTCCAAACCAATTTATTTTTTAGGTTCTTAGATTAGCAATTAAAATCTTAATTTTTTCACATATAATTTATTTTAGAAAACATCAGGTTAAAAAAAACTAACATTGAAAACATTTAAGTTATTTTTTAATTATAAAGAAATTAATATTTTTATTTTTTATATTTAAGAAAAATAATGTCAAGAAATGTTCAAATTGATCCAGTTTGTATTTGTACATAATAATTAATTTTTATTGTTTTCAATGTTTTTACATTAAAATTTTTTTTCTTCAGGATCCCTTTGTTTCAAACTAACACTTGTTCATCATAGTGTTTCTTCAAAGTCCTTTCTTATCTGTCTTGTATATTTATCCTAACTACTGAAACATCTTCTGCCGCTATCACGTAGACTGTAACTCAACTCACGCAGGCCTTACTGGGCTTAATGCCATAATCATTAATAAAGTTAATCAATATTAACGATTTTGGCATTTAACCCACTTTTCAGGCTGTTTGCAATGGCAGTTAGCTTGCCTAAAATTGTTAAACTCAATTTTTTAGTTAGGCACTTAGCTTGTCCACCTAGGCACTTAGATGTCCACCTTCTTACTAAAATTTATATACATTTATTTTCACAATATATAATTTAAACATTTTTAACATTTATAATCTTAATTTTTGATCTACTTTTGTTATTAAGGTTGATTGGTACGATAATGCATAAAAAAAAAAAAAAAATTAAAGAAAAGATTAGTATACAAACATAGGTTTTTCATTCAATCCATAGTTTAGTATTAAAAATCATTTTTAGTCAATTATGGAAATTGTCATTTTGAGTTATTGATGATTTATTTGAAGTTAAAAAAAGCTTTTGTGATTGTTATTGCCTCATGTTTATTTTAACAGAAAATGAGTATTAGTAACTATGAGCAATTAGTAACAAATTACTACTGGTTCCAAGAATAGAACAATGATTTAATAGATGTATTACATACTGATTGATACCTTTCACAATTTAATATAGTTATTCTTAGTAGCATTATATGCTGACTAATCTATAATTTTTTTGTACATCATACTAACTGTGTTAATAATATTTTCTGAATCCAATAATTTAAAATTGTTAAGGTGATATTTCCATTTTTCAATGAATACCCTCATCTTAATCAAAATAACTTGTCTTCTCATTCACAACTCGCATCAATATTGTGAGATGTGCTATATATTAATTTTTTTGCCATGGAAATAATTTTTTTTTATGTTAACATATAACCCTAATTATCATTTTAAAACTTTTATGTGATTTTATTTACTAATGCTTTGCATCATTTTTGTACTAATTGTTACCGTTTTCATTTTTGAATTTTGTATAAATATACTTACCCACATTCCTTTGCACACCTACAGAAGATGATGGCACCAAAATGTTATGGCTTATTTTTGTGCCTTTTTTTTTCTCTGCTCGGTAAGCACTTGTTACATAACTTTCTTAAAACTGAAGTAATAATGAAAAATTAAGTGAATTTAGTTTTACCTATTCTATTTAATTATAAATGTGGTAATATGATAATGAATTTTTTTTTATAAAAAAAAAACTATGAACTAAAAATTTATAAATTATTCTGGAAAGAAGATAATTTGTGAAGAAAACTTCAAAATCAATATTTCTTCTAGAAAAAATTGTATGTAGAAGTACCAGTCTTCTACAATAATAATTTTTACACTTATTTTTTATTTTAAGAAGGTATTGGGACTGCATAATAGGATAATAATAATATTTTCATCAAACAAATACAGAGGAAATGATTATTTGGAGATCAACAGATTTATTTTTCTATAATTTCAGTTGATTTTTTTATTTACATTATTTTTTAGCCTTTTTTTTTTAAAGCTGGGTGTACTAAATTCACCTAAAACAATTAAACTTAGATTTTATGAATATTTACTTTCAGTTAGCTATTCACTTCCTAATTTTTGTTTTTCTTTCTTATTGAAAGAACATTCATTATCTATACTAGGATCGAAAGGGGATATTCCTTTTCCCTCTTCTCTCCCTTCAGGCTATATGGGTTTTTTCCCAATCCAGAGGTGAGGGCGGTGGAATTATGTCAGAGTTAAAAGTTCTCCCGGTACCAGGATTTGAACTTGTAAATTTCGGTTTATCACAGGTTACTCCGGGTCGCGCATGGTTTGCACACTCGTTACCCCGCTCAGCCAGAGTTCTGATTGAACCCTGTTCCCAATCATTTATGATTTATTACATTGAAATTTGAAAACAATTTTTTGTATGTTTAGAAATCTGAAATCATCTTTATTTCCTGTTATTTGTTGTCACTTTCGTTCTCTTTATATCTAGCCTCTGTCGTGAGTGCTTTGAGGAACTTATGTTTTTTAGTGCAAGTCTTTTGAACATCCAATAATTTAAGTTGGTCTTTTGTGTGCAAATGTTCATGTTATTTGACTTTAAATCTTTTCTCTGAAATTATTCATCATATTATTCTAGGAAATGGTTTGAGTGAAAGTCAAAATTAAACAAAAATTATTATAAAGCTATTAAATATATGCCGTTCTTAATGTCTGCTTGATACTTCTTCAGTGCTACAAATTTGAAAGTATGTAAAAATAAAAAGAAACAGTAATATTTATATTCATTTTTGAAATTACCTTTATCTGGCTGTTTAAATTTATTTTATTTAATCTTTTCCTCAGTATTTTCTACAATTACTCCTTGTTATCTTTTATCTTAGCTATATGTTGTTACAAACACTATTTGCTCCAGAGCACTCACAAAAGAGCATAAGTTCAATCCTACATGCTTTCCCTTCCATTCCATTCGCATGTGTATTATATCATGGGAAATTGTGGTTCCAGTTGGGAAAGAAAATACAACTAAATGACACGTTTATCGTTTTTATTTCTACGATGTTCCATTCTTGTCGTTTGTATCTTATTAAGTTCATATCTGTCAATCATTCATCCAAGTTTCTGGCTAAAGAAGATGTTGTAAAGTTCTATCTGTATAACATAAGTGAAATAGTAATAATTTGGAATGATACAATGCTAGAATTGGGAAGCTCTCAAACCATAGCTACACTTTGGTGACGTCTTTTGTGACTATATTATACTTTTTACCCGTTAATAAATAATTTTTTTTTTTTATTAACAATAAATTATGGTGGTGCATTGCAAATCTATTGAGTTTTAAGAATTTGTACGCTTTAATAACCTATCTGAACTGGATTGAATCCATTCTATTACTTCTGGGGATAAACAAACTGTTAATGTGGTATATTTAAAAGAATGAAAGTGGTAAAGCATAGGCAAAGAAAGGATGTCCCGTTTTATAAGTATACCTTAAGGAACTACTTGGAGTGATGGAGGTTGGTAGGTTAATTTTTCAATAAATTAACTATTTTTTCTGATTACAGTATTAAATGTTTAAAAAAGAAAACAAATTGACCAATGATTTAGGAAAAGAATATATATTTTATATTTTTTTATTTTATGCAATTTGCATCTAGCAAATTTGTTGTGTTTTTATTGTCTTGGTGTAATTGCTTGATTTTTTTTTTATGTTGATGTTTTTATTGATGTAGTAGGTCTCTTGGCCATTTTCTTCTTAATCCTCGTTGCTCAGGTAACAGGGAGCAGGAGATAGAAAGAACCAAAGGATTGGAGTGATTTTGGGTTGAAGAATGAAATGTAGTGTATTTGTCGTGGATGTAGGAATTTACTGTTGGGGTGTTTAAGTCGTTATGTATAGTAGTGTTTGAAATGTACCAAGGTGCGTTAACAATTTTTCGTAAAAAATTTTATTGTGCTGTTTGTATTTTGTTTATGTGTGTTTGTTTTGCTGAACCCCAAAGTTCTGCTCCATATATCCATATTGGTCTCAGTAAGGTGTTGTAGATAAATCGCTTGTTTCGTAAGTTAAGTGAAGATCTGTAGTCCAGAAGATGTGAAAGTTGGCTATATCGTCTAGTAAGTTCTTGTCTTTTTAATTTCGTATGTATGTTCCAAGTAAGTCTTTTGTCTAAGTAGAGTCCAAGGTACCGTACATAGTTCTTTGAAGGCACTGGATTATTGGCAATCGTTATGGGTGGACATGAGGCTTTCCTAAGAGAGAAACTAATGTGGGTGGATTTTATACTATTAATTTTGATTCTCCAGTTTTCAAACCACTTTTCAAGATCATGAAGATGGTTTTGTAGGGCAATTGATGCGATAGTAGGATTTTTGTGTGAAGTTAGAATAGCAGTGTCGTCAGCGAAGCAATAAATGGTGGTATTAGGGAAAAGAATATATAATTCAAATTTCTGGTATGTCATTTATTGTTAACCATTTCAGATAAATATTAACAATACATATACAGCAATGTATGTAAAACATATTCTTGTATTAAATCAGTGATGGTTTGTCAAAAAGATATGTCATTAATTGTTTTTAAAAATAAGTTTTTAATTTCATTTTGATCAGAACATTTAGTACTTATCTTTGGTGTTGATCTATTTTTTAAAAAATACTGTTAAATTTGATTATTATTATTAAAAAACAAAACCAGTAACACTTGGTTTGGAAGTACTGTTTCTTGTCGAAATGTTCAAGGAGGAGATTGGGCCAGAACTGGAAGCATAGGAGTGCAGTGCCTTGCTCACTGAACTCCTCTTCTCCTATTTTATTAATATTGAATTTAAACCAACTAACTGCTTTTTAATACTGAATGATATGTTTGATTTTATTTTTGTAGATCAATTACGATTACTATTCAAATAAAAAAAATTCGTTATAGAAACATTCATTGTGATTTTTATTGTTTATTATTTCTAAATTCAAAATTTTCCCACCAGTATTATTTAATTAATTCTCCTAAATCGATTATTAGAAAAATTCTTAACTGTTCAAATTCTGTTTGCTTTACATAATCACGACTCCACTGTTTAAAAATCCATATACAAACATTTGCAAACTCGATCATCAACTAGTCGCTAGTTTTCATGATTTGGGCTGGGTTCGGATGACCAACCGTAATTGCATATGATTTTTCATTTTCTGTCAATGCCTAAGAAAGAAGTTCTCATTTCACACGATTTTATTATGTTCCCTGGTTTATTAATTTATTGGCAATCCAATATAAAATCTATTAAAACCGATTTTTTATTACCTTATCTGTACCATCTAATCTAGACTGAGACATCTTCACTTGAAGGCTCTTTAAAAAAAAAAATTAAATTCCTGTAGAATTTGTTTGTTTGTTGAAAGAACATTTGTTGATTAATTACTCTTATTAATATACTCTTTATTGCATTAATTAGTCATGGCCAAAGCCGAAAATTATCTAATTTGCCTCATGTGAGAATATTAATGAATAGCAAATATTTGCTGATGTTTACAGTTTGCTTCTGTCTGTTTGATCGCTTGAAGATAACTTTAAAAATAATTTCAGCATACAGTTTGGTTTGCAAATGTATTTCCAACCTGATAGATACTGTTTTAAAATTATTTTAACCTCATATGTCTATCATCTTCTTTCATATTAATCTTTATTTGTTATAGGTATTGTGAAGAAGAAAAAGATTTAGAAGCTCAGATGCTAGCCAAGGGTATTCAGTTCCAGCAGCCTAAGCAGTAAACATCACATAAGAAAGTAGAAAATTACTAGACATTATATAGCTTTAACCTTGTTACCTCTTAAGGTGTTATTTTTCTAGTGCAATCGCCTGCCTGAATAATGAAATGAGTAGATATATATTAATGAAAGAAAAAAATCATAAAAATTATATATATATATATATTTTATCACCATTTGACTGATAATAAGCAATCTTCTATAATTGTAAATGTATTTATTATGTTGATATACATAAATATTTATGATTGAAAGCACCCTAACGTCGTATTTAAATTTTTTTCCTAACTACCTACCAAGAGTATCAATATAATAATAATTTGTTTGTTCATCGATTAGACATCTAAATATTATTTTAAATTAACTTTTAAGATTTTCTGCTTAAAATTAATTGATTCCATTATAAGCTACTAACATGAACTGATCTTTGATCTCGTATTTAACGATGTAATTTTGGTTTTTCTTATCTTAAAATTGGTGCTTAAAACTGTCGACAACCAATTAAATTGTGTATTATAGTGTAGATGAAATATTTGTTTTTACGTTGTGTCCTGTGATAGTCCCACGACAACATCAATTATTTTTTATATATTAACCCTAATCCTTCCTATTTTTTGTAAGAATTGTTTTATTAATATCTATGTTTAACTCTGTGACGCATAGTATTGTAATTATTGTATATAGATATTATGAATATTTGATAAGCAGGGGATTATTTTATTGTTCATTACTGAGAGAAATAAATATGCTTTTTACATTTTTTTTTCTTGTAATTTTTTATCCTAATTATTATGATAGGTATACATTTAAAAGATTTTTTATTATATTGTTTATTGATGCTATTGATAAACGTTTCAGATAGATATATAGATAAAATATACAATAATTCATTACATTTATTAGTTTTATTTAAGTCTTTTCAATAATTGCTGATTTCCATTTTTCCATAATTGGTTGCCTTTCATATCAATTCAATTGAGATTATACCCATAACAGTTTTTTAAAAATTAGACCTGATATTTTTCTCATACCATATAATTTAAATACCATCCCAATAAAATGTTATAACAAAGCAGTTGGGTGCCTTCAAACAATGAGTGGTCAGCAGAAAGCAAATAAATCACACATTCAATGCTATAAGCACTGAAAGATTCATAGGTGCCCTTTCAAAAAAAAAAAAAAAAAAAAAAAATGAAAATTAATTATTTTCACTAGTCAAAATTTGTTTCTATGAGAGATCTAAGCTAAACATTAAAAAAAAAAAAAAGGAGCGGAGTGACCAAGAAGCTAACACATTGCCTGACAACGTGATAAACTGAAGTTTAGAATAAGAAATAATTACGAATTCGCATCTTTATGCCAGGAGGGCTTTTAACTTTGGGATTAATCCTCTGCTTTGAAAATTAGTTATTCTAATTGTAAGATCAGATCCAATTAATGATAAACAAACTTAAAACAGATAAATAAAGTAATTTAATCATATTAAAAAATGATCAAAATTGTTAGTTCAAAATGTTTATTATTCACGAGGTCGAATATAATACTAGTAGTACTGAGTTGTGGAAAGAAACCAAAAGTCTTGGGTATAATTTTCAGGAGCTCCTGTGAAATATTAAATTTACTATTAAAATCCAACTTTGTCTGTTATGGTGTATGGAACCAAATTATTATATAAAGTAGTAAACATGTTTTAACAATGGTAATGAGTTAAAAAAATATTTAATTTACTTTTCTTTTATATATTTTACTGTTTTAGATAATTTTTACATTCTTTTGTTAAAGAAAATCTTCCTATTGGTATGAAGAGAATCTGCAAAAACTTGCGTAGGAGCTGCTTCCACAGCAGAGGAATAGAAGGAAATTTTCCTCCACAAAACAAAAATTATGGGGAAAAAATTGACTATTTCAAATATATATATCTGTACCATTACCCGTGAATAATTATCCAGTAGATGGGAGAGGAATTAATGAATTGGCTCCCTTTTTCAAAAATAGGTTGTTATAAATTCATCATTGATATTAAATAATTACCTTCTCTATGCCTATGACAATCGATTTTAAACATTTTGAGATATGAACTAGTTAGATGATCAGTTTATTACGACTTCTTACAAATTCTGTTAGTTCCTTTCCCATAATTATTTCTAGAACGCCCCTCTTAGGAGTATCGTACCCTTTAAATCCGTTTAATCACTTTATTTATTGAATATTTTAATTCAGTCCAATGCTATAATCCAAAAATGTAACAATAGTGAAAGATGGAAGAACAGACTTGGTACGAAAACGTCTATTTCTTACCTTATTGCACTGTACCTTTAAGTAAATGAACTAATTCAAAGGATTCAAGGTATGGTCCTCAAATAATTTTTCCACTTATTTAAATTTTTGATTTCTAATTAGATAAAAAAAATCTAGTGTGTGCAGCACAACTTTCACTTACCCCTCTACTTAAATATAAATTATTTTGTGGCATTGTTGGCTATCATAAAATTTTTCAAGTGCATTTTTGGCAGGCTAAAGCTTAAAGCTTACAGTTAACAAATCATTAATACCATCAAAATAGTAAAAATACTATTTATTATATCATCGATTGATTATGGATTATACCACTATAAATTATGAAACTATTCCATTGCAAAGTTTACTAATATGTAATTATGATATTCGAATTGCCTATCATAGATAGGTCAAAAGTTGTCACACCAATTGTAATTGGATACTGTTGGGATAACACCAAGAAAAAATTCATTAAATTATCCACTAATTTAATTTTCTAAAAGTTTAAATGATTTTTCGAAATAAACTGATGATAGATGAAAGAAAGCCACATATCAATGTGGCTAAGACCTAGCTGGTATTAAAAACGGCTGAATAATACACTGATATACTAAATTTAATCATAATCGTTAAGAGTCGTTTTTGAGAAAATCGTAAAAACGTGTAACATTGTTGATATTAAGTACCATTTCCGGTTTGCCGATTTGGACGATAATGTTGCTGTAACATCTCAGGCATTCGTACGACTTTTCATTTTTAAGCTGAGCTTACCGCTTACAGACACACCCATTAACACACACACACAGACTATTTTGTGGGACTTGGTTATTTGGACTCAGCGAACCTCAAAACGTGTATTTCCGTTGAAAATTGATATTCGAAAATTTTCCTGATCGCAGTACTTATTCTTACTATATATTCCATATAGAGGTAAGTGAAAGTAAAAAAACCGAAATGCATTTAGCAATATATCAAAGAATTACCTCCAAAACTCGAAAAACTTTTGAACCCAAAGTCTAATGAAAAAAATCTGGTGCGCACAACAAACAACTTTCACTTACCGATCTATTTTGAATAGAAATTATTTTCTGGCAATGCTGGGCTATTATGAAATTTTTTGAAGTGCATTTTAAACGGAGCTAAAGCTTAAAGCTTACAGATAACAAGTCATTAAGACCATTATAATTACAAAATATATACTTTTTGAGTTATTCGGAATTTAATTTTACCATCCCTCGTAACTTTTTTTCCAGCTTCTTTTCGATGATGTATGTTATATAAATAAATTTAAAGGGTGTCGAGAAAATGACTTTAGATGAAGTTTCATTAAAATCGGTGCATTCGTTTAGGCGCTACAGTCTATAGCAACGCAGGTTTTTCTGTATTTTTTTTTCTCCTTTATTAACTTATCAAATTCTTTCAAACGTTATATTTAGCGTTTTTTCGTAACTTTGAATAGTGTGAAATGATTATCTTTTTAAAATAACCCATATTAAAGGTACTTTAGAGGAAGACGTATATGAACATTGGGCATTTAAGCCCTGTAAAGTGACATCAATGGGGATAAAACTTAATTGATATTAAAGGTCACTTAATTATACAATGATAAACCGAGTTTAATCAAAATCGTTTGAGCCGTTTTTGAGAAAATTGTGAAAATGTGTTTCAGCGTTGATATAAAGTGGCACTTCCGGTTAGCCGATTTTAAGGAAAAAGTTGCCGTCACATATAAGGCTTATATCTATCTTAAATACGTAATATCAGTTTCGTAGGACTTTTCGTTTTTGAAGTAGACTGCTAACATACAAATACACAGACACAGACCGTTTTTCGGGACTTGGTCATTTCGACTCAGGGTACCTCAAAACGTGTCTTTCCGTTGAAAACTCAGATTAAAAAATTGTCTCGATCGCAATACTTACCCTTGCTATATATTAAATATATTACATATATATGAATCAAATGTCAAATCAAATACATATCAAATCAAGAAAGTGAAAGTAAAAAAACTTTAAATCTAGAGGATTATGTAATGTAAATTATGTAATTTTAATCAAAATTTATGTTATTTTTGCCTTGTCCTTGTTCGGCTTTTTAGGCTATTATATTAGCCTTTCAGTTGACAGAATAACTAACTCCAATTCCCAGAGGTGCCCAGAAGGGTGTTTCGCCAGGGTGCAAGTTGCGCCATACAAATTTTTGAGGGGGGCATGTTTTGACGGGGTTTTGAATTTTTGAGGGGACACATTAATGTTCGAAATGAAAAGTTTCAAACAAGGGGACAGTAGAAAAGCATAGAACAGACCACTGAAAGTTTAATTGTATATATGATTTCTAAAAATATACTTTACTTTGGGTGAAGGGAGGGTGGGGGAGGGGGGAGTATATGCGCCATCACCCTTGTGGGAGATGGATACCCCTACAAATTTCAACATTTTTGAGTAAAGTAATTTTAGTAAGATTTTTAGTTGAAAAAGTTATATTATATCTACAGACAGTGAGTAAGTTAAATCTAAAGTAGATGATTGCAGTGTTGAAATATAGGATTGTGAATAAAAATATAAATTTTCCCACTAGAAATATCACTAAAATTAATAACCAAAAATGTTGAAATTGGAGTTAGTCATTCTGTCGACTGAAAGGCTCAAATACTACTCGATATATTTTTGTGTGCAAAATAAATAAAAAATATTGACTATAGTATTAAATGAGTTATAACGTGTCGTAAATAACAAAAACGAAAAGTCTCAACTATTATAGAAGGCCAAGTAAATGTTTGTATATAGTTAGATATTTGTATATAGATAGTATGTAGTTAGATTCGTTTTCAATGTACTTTAAAACTATTAAATACGAATTTTTATAGAAGTCAGAATTTGAAAATTTTAGTAATTAATTTTCTTTGGTGATTTTTTCCGGCCGTTAACTAAAGCAGTCATAACTTCTCAGGATTTTCTCCTAATCCAATATCAGTACAACCTTTCGAAAGCTGAATTATTGCTCTTCCAAGTTGGAAGTCCCAACACACGAAAATAATTTTTTGATTTCATTCCTTTTTAGGCTAGACCCTTCCAATTGTTTTGTTCAACTACCTAAATTATGGTAAATTATTTGGTATTTCGGGCTCAATATGCTACACATAGTCGCATAAACCCTTTTCCGTAAACAAATTAGAACCAAAGATATAAAATAAAAATGTTTGAAAAGTTTTCTTCATTTCCAGCTTAAAAATAAAATAAAAATTATTTGTCGGGGTTGGAAGAACGGTTGTTATAAAGTTGAATTGACTTAGTTGACGGCCGGCATAACTTTTTTTCGCTCCTAAAGACAATTTCTGGATCCGCCTCTGAGATTTACAGATCAAATTTGCATCCTTTGGAATGAATGATCTCGGAATTAATACCATGCTAATTTTTAATCTTCTCACTGAAGAAAAGAAGCTCTCAAATAAATTATTAGTGGAATAAAACAAGTGAAGCAGGATA